ACATAGGAAATATCATTGATTCTATACACATGAAGACCAATACACATATCACACAATCATCCAGATGCGATCTTGCTACTATGCTACTCAAACAATTTTATTTCTGTCACATATATTATATAGTACATTACAGACAGACCACCTCTGCAATCTCGGCATTCTGCAACTGAGCTTGTCATTTAGTTATTCTTCACAGATGACGCTTTTGGTGACGCTCATAGCAAGGAATAGCGAATATGAACTAGTGGTGTTGATTATCGTTACTTTCGAGTACTCGTTACTAATCGTTACTCTTCACAACGTAATCATTTATTGTATTCGTTACTTTGATTACTTTAATTACATACTATGAGTATGAGTATACTGATTTGGCAACGTGCAATAGTTCATATTATGAACTGTTTGCACACTAGGATCCATCTGGTCACTTAATAACCTTGCCGGACAAATAATAGTTACATTATATACCTACCTTGTGTGGAGTGTGTTATTATTGTCCAAGCATTTTATCTCCTGAGACCGGAGACGCATACCGCCGAGGGATATAATGTACATAAAAATTGCATTTTCCACGAGTTATGTATATTTTTCCACTACTAACGAATATTATCACATTCGATTTTATTGGGCTTTGAAATATAGCATATCTGAGAGTTTTCTGAACGCCCGGCAACACTGACCGAATAAAGCACACGAAATGTCTGAATCGCATACAGTGTGTAGGAGAGGGATGCTGCTCCTACTGATAAATTCCGAGAAGATAGAAGATGCTACGTATGTTCGTTTCCCACTCATTTTCAAATACTATACAATTACAACTTATGCTTGTAGCAAGTAGCATGGGACTTTCAAGCTGTCAAAATAATGAGGTACCTAAATAAATACAATCAATTAGAATTTCAACTTTTCTCAAAGTGTCATTATAATCTTCCTACTGTTAGGGAGAGTTGAGATCCTTGACACCCCTTATCTGCACTGCCATGACTATCTATTGAGTAGGTCATTTTGCTGCTATGCTAGGAAAATTTTAATTCTTACCACGCTTTTCAACATTTATAAAAAAAACTCACCAAATACCTGACACTTTATGAAACATCGTAAGGAATCTAGACAAACTAGTTTCAACTTGACAGGAAAAAACTTCATTTAAATGGATCCACCATTTGCGGAAATGAGAGATGAAATTAAATTGCTTATGTGCTACACATTACACTGTTAACACGGTCCAATCTATAATCTGAATATTAAATAAGGGGATCAAGTGCTTCAAATGAGAGGAATTATTGGAATTCAGATTCCTCCTTTCATTTGACCGGAGGAATCTAGCAATCTAGATTACAACTACAACATTCTGATGTCACTTACCTAGGAAAATACAGCAATGAAACCTCCGGTAAACGTTTAAACCGTGACACACCTCGTTTTCAAAAAGGCACTTAGATTTATCAGTCCTTTTTGCGTTTTAAATATGTTCACAAATACCGAAATTCCTTGGCAATGAATACGCCCTTCTTATTTTGACAGACGTCAAACGCCCCTGCAAAAACAACTGATTCCGATCAAAACAAAACACCTCCGACTGTATTACTGTATTACTGAATTTGTACTGATTTCCCGACACTGTAAATTTCTATAAAACGATTATTTTAATGATACAAAACCGACACCACGGATTATTTTATGAAATCAAGACATCACCTATCGGGATTTCATGAATGGTAAAAGTCAAAATCCCTTATTTTCTTGACGTCGCTAAGCACAACAGAGCTGCACATCGATAAACCAGTACGCAATATTCAAAGAAATAAGGCTGAAATAATGCTTTCTTGCCTGCTTATTTTATTTGAACAGAAAATATAATTGCAATGGGTGCATTTTTGGTATTATTCTTTGGCTTTAAGCAGTGCATTAAAAATGAGCAAACTACAAAGAGTATATTTTAAAAAGTGCATAGAATACTTTATCGACGCGGTACGAACCTATGAACACTATCGTTCGATTTTGCCATCTGCAGGGAAACAGATGCACTTTACGGAAACATAAGAAGCTGGGCAATATTAGAGACTGAAATTCCCTTATATTTATTAAAACTTGCTTTATAGCAAATAAAGAGATAAAGCTTATCAGGTCATGTACAATCGAATTGATACATTAATATTATTATTTTGATACAAGTAATGGGCAAAATATTATTTGATGATTGACTGCGCCACCTCTCCGCTACGATTAGTACTTATGACCAGGGATATGAAGTGCGTTACAGATTTCTTCTCCTACAATGAAATTAACAGGTCCCCCCCAAAAGTTCAATTATTATGTTTGTTAAGACTTTTGTCAATAGATGGCAAAACAAGTAGCTGACATTTGGAAAAACGAAGTAGACCCACGGCCAGCGTTGCCAGACGTACGATAATTATCGTTTCTGTACGATAATTTCAAGTATTGTACGATGTACGATGCTATGTTAGGATAATAGCTGAATGTACAATAATTTTGCGATCGAGCTTATTTACTCACAGGTGTTGAATCAATCTAACTAACAACTACGTTCAATTGACACCAGGAAGCAGCTGTCAGTGTTGCGCTTGGTGACAAGCGCGCGTACATCACTCTGTATAATGGGTTGCCTAGCATTACGCGGATAATCTTTGCAAACATCAACGGGAAAAATTGCCGTTCATCAGTTCTCACGTTCTATGTAGGACATGACGGGCACATTTTTATTTACCCATGTGCATTAGATGAAATTAATGCGACGTCTCCCGTTTTTATGACTCTTGAAACTTAAAAATCAAAAGCTCCTTTTCAGTTATTTTCGATATATAACCGGTTTCAATTCAATAACGATAATATGTCGGATTCCGAATCAAGTTGCTCTGGAAGAGAGAAACATAACAAAAGATGCGATACTCTTGAATACAGAAAACAACAAAAAGAAGCGGAATCTTTGAAGAAAGCCAAACACAAGCTTATAGGAAAAGTGAGAAATTTAGTTTAGACTTCAGACGATTATAATTTTAATGCAAATAGATGAAACAATAATGCAAGAAATCTAAAATACCAACAAAATATTTGTAATTCTAATGCTGGAACCGCACGCTTTCCATTTGCCGCAAACTCCAAACCCCTACAAACGCTTGCCTTTTTTTGAAGAAGCAAACGTCGCCGTCCACACGTTTGCGGTTGCGTCACGAAAAGGCAACAGGCAAACATGACGCTTGTGGCAAACTCCTTTGATTTGCGACCAAAAAACCGACACCCGATCGGATCGGCTACAAGCGCTTGCAAACCCACGCAAACGAAGCCAAACGCTCTATACGCATGTTTGCGTTTGTGACGATTTGCGGCGATTTGGCAAGCGTGCGGTTCCGGCATTACATTGTGGGTAATCAAGTTTGCCCTCCTTTATACGTACGACAACCTGCAGGCTTATGGAAAAACGATAAATTGTCAACTTTTTGACTTAGTAGGCTAGTGTCACGCTAGTGTGCCAGTGTTACGATCTCGTGTTTTAACATGAGATATACTGTTTTTACCTTGATGCTAATGTTTTCGCGAAAAAATGTTTATAACGGCAATACGTTTTTTATACTTCTCAGCTCACCTGCCACTCCTAGAAAAACCAGAAATAGCTAGACATCGTCTCGCCATCTATTAAATCGATGTTAAACTGGGTGAATCACGTATACCAAACAAGCGCTAGCATCACTCACAGATGGCAAATTCGGGAATCGACTGCGATAATCCGATAATTCATTTATGTACACGTGTATTGTTACGATCAGGATCAGGGATGTTCCGACATGCACAATTATTGTGCATATTATGCACCCAGTGATGGGCGTTTAGGCGTATACATTAATTGTCTACATGTCGATGTATACATTGTGTATACAATGTATACATTATGTGTATATACAAAGATGAAGACAATGTATAGAATCGTATAAGTGCGGTTAGGTTTATTCGCAAATCTCAGAAGTTGGTGAACATTGAAAAGGCAACTTTTAAAAAATATGGTCGGACGCCCCAAGAACAAAGAAATCGATGAACTACGGTTCATATTGTTTAAAAATGGAAAGACATATTCCTTAGAATGTAGTATCTCGATTGAAATCATACAAGTATTTTGCTTTATTTTACTTAAGAATGTTCCTAATCTAATTAAAACTGTATCTTTGTATACGTACATATACAGGGTGACTTCGAAGTTGAGTCATTTATTTTAACAGTGAGTAGATCTGATCAAAAGAAATGTTTTTTCCTTTACCATTTTTCTGGTAAAATTAAAGTAACAAAGTTATAGCCCTTTGGAAGTTTGAGTACCGCCCTGTCTCAATAATAATATTATGTGCTCGTGTTTGGCAACAACGGATATAATCCGCCTTATCGGTTCATCGCATCGGAAACAAAAAAGCGAAAGAATTTGGAACGATGTTTTTACAATTATTTTATTCAGTTGTATACAGTCAGTGTCAGTCGGTAACGCGTGAGTGAATAGTGGTGTCTGTTGCGTGGCTCAGACGAAATCAAAAATGGCACATGTTTACGAAAATGCTGAACTTGTGGACATGATTCTTATTTACGCAGCATCACGGATTTATGCGGATCGGTTTCCCAATCGAGTGCAACCAACCCCTCGTGCCTTTGTTAATGTAGTACAAAGGGCTCGTGAATCAGGTGACTTAAGACCTCACAGGAGATGGCATGCCGGTGCTCCAAGACCGCACGATCAAATACAGGTCCGCACTGAAATACTTATCGGGAGGATACTTTATAAAACAAGGTAACATTTTTTTTTTTATTTTTACACACATATTTTGGTTTATCTTCCTTCTACAATCATTATCTGAAAATTAATGACTCAACTTCAAAGTCACCCTGTATAGATAGATCGCAGTAAAAGTGAGACCACTGACACATTCACAATATGATTTAATGAGATTACACTACTTTGTCATTGAAATTATAACCTGCAGGACTGGCCTAACAATGTAGGGTTAATAAGAAGTTTTGACACTTACCTCAGGGGGTTCAATGGCCCGCTCCACAGCCTCAGACATGAGAAAGAATGAGATAAATAACAAAAACAGTCCATTCACAAATCCAGCAAGTATTTCTGCTCTGACATATCCATAAGAATATTTCTCATTCGCTTTCCACTTTGTAATCACAGATGCAACCAGGCCTGCCAGAAGGCCCGTACAGTCGAAAAACATATGGAATGAATCGGAGATCAAACCTAAAACAACATGATGTTTAGATTTGTGCCAAAGCTAAAGTGCCTTATGCAAGGTGTTCACACAGATATCTACCTAAGCTGTTACTCCATACTCCATATACAAGTTCCACGAAGGCAAACGATAAATTCAACAACAAAAACAGGAACAAGTTTCTAGAGTTTCTGTCTGAAAATATAAGTCTAACCCAACTGTTAATTCTCTCCTTAAATCTGTAACCAAATCCCCTATGGTAATAGGGGTATGTGTCCTTATTTGAAAGAGGTAACATTTTCCAAAACTAGTTTTCTTTTTCACAAAGGAAGCCACATCATTTTCATATTGTCCACTAGGCAAATTCCATAAGAACAGACTTGAAAATATGTAAAATAATTCCTTAGGTGTTCCCAACCACAAAACATATACACATCACATATACACTCACTATCACAAAACATATACACTGAAGGGAGGTACAGTTCCGTGCTATCCATAGGGCAACACGGTTGACTTACGTCAGTGTCAAGAGTCATTTTTTCTGGATGCCAGATTGTGCACGAACGCCACACGCGACATTGCCGGCTCGTTGCATAAATCTGCAACAGTTTTATAATTTTATAATGATTTGACTTGACTTCGTCTACTCATCAGAGTAGGCCGGGGGCCTTTTGACGTGGAAAATGTTCAGAATTAATCAGTCACTAATAAGTATCTGCTTAAAATTATGAAGGATTGATCCCAAACAGAAAAAATTTAAAAGTTTTTTCATCCGCCTCTTGCCTTTAATTTTAGACGTATTTACGAAGATGAAATAAAATACGTCAAAACGTATTTATCCGGAGTTATTGGATCGCAAGTTTTGACATATGAAGAATTAAGTCCTGGTCATTTTCTAACGTTGTATCCACTATCTTCTAATTTATATATCAATCGCTTATATCAATACCAATTACTTTTACGCTTACATAGAGATTTTATTTCATAGGCTTCTTCTCCATGTTTTGGAGGAATGTTTTGTTCCGCTGACGTGGATGCGTTGGATCTGTGTCCATCGATATCCGAAATTATGCACGTTGGGATGGTCGACTACACCCCTCATACAGTGAAAGCGTCTAAATCAGGGTCCAACGGCTGGTTCAACAAACCGTGCGACACTGCTCGTCAGCAGAAGATCAAGGCGCACAAAACCTACTTACAATACTCCATTGTAGATAACGCTGCCGTCTTATGCAAACTTCCGTCCTGTGGCCTCCCAGAGAAGCTTTGCCGCTGGGTGCCTGACTTTCTCTCTGACCGCAAGATATCCGTCGTAATTGATGGATTCTCCTCTTCACCCCACAACGTCAGCGCGGGTGTTACTCAGGGATCGGTCTTGGCTCCGACACTGTGTCCCTTACATATCAACGACCTTCTTTTTTGTACGATCAACCCAATCCGTAGATTTGCTGATGACAGCACTCTACATGCAGGAGTTCAGAGCGACAAGCCGATCTCTGCCCGTGACCTGGAAAAAAGAAATCTACCAGCGACTTCCTCTCCAACGAGAGACTTGAACGATATCGCTGCCGTTTGCTGTACCCATGATATGGACTGAACAGCGAGATCACGTTTCAGATTGCTATTTTTGTCTCACTGACATAAAAGGTATAAATTACAAGAAAAAAACCACAGTTATTTACCCTAACTTATCTTCGGCTATAAGACCAGTCTCTCATTGTAAAAAATTGCCAGAACTAATACCAGTTGCAACTACGTCTGTTGAGAACAATTCACAACCGTCCACTTCAGGTGAATGTGTTGACGAGGACGATGACTTTGAGTTAAAAGGAATTGTAAACGAGCCACATTTGATAACTCAAGGAGACCTAAATGATTTGGTTCGGGATTTAAATTTGTCAAAAAAGCAGTCAGAACTATTAGGATCACGTCTAAAAGAATGGAATTTGCTACATCATAATACAAAAGTTAGCTATTTTCGAAACCGTGATCAACACTTCAGAACGTATTTTTCTCAGGATGGAGATTTGGTGTTTTGCAATAACATAAATGAGATTATGAAAATGTTGGACATAGATTTTGATCTCTCTCAGTGGCGTTTATTCATTGATTCTTCGAAAGCAAGTCTAAAAGCAGTGTTATTGCATAATGGAAATAAGCTTCGGTCTGTACCTCTGGCCCATGCTGCAAATATGAAAGAAACCTATGAAAATATGAAAGTTTTACTTGAAAGTATAAATTACAGTACATATTCCTTCAAAATCTGCGGTGATCTTAAAGTTGTTGCACTATTACTTGGACTTCAGCTGGGTTATACAAAGTTTTGCTGCTTTTTATGTGAATGGGATAGCCGAGACAGAACTAATCACTATATAAAAAAAACATGGCCTACGCGTGCATCGTTAGTTCCTGGGCAAAAAAACGTAAAGTATTTACCCCTTGTACAGCCAAATAATGTGCTTCTACCACCATTGCATATCAAATTAGGATTAATAAAAAATTTTGTGAAGACAATGGATCGCAATGGGAGTGGATTTTTGTATCTAAAAGAAAAAATCCCTAAAATAAGTGATGCAAAGATAAAAGAGGGTATTTTTGTTGGCCCTCAAATTAGGGAGTTAATAAAAGATTCAAGATTTGAAGAAAAATTAAGCGATTTAGAAACATCTGCATGGAAGGCTTTTAAAAATGTTTCAAATTTTTTGGGTAACCACAAGAGTGACAGCTACAGAGAGTTGGTTAGCGAGCTATTATTGTCATATCAAGCATTGGGTTGCGACATGTCACTTAAGATCCATTTTTTAGACTCGCACCTGGATTTTTTTCCTGACAATTTAGGGGCTGTCAGCGAGGAGCACGGTGAGAGGACATTTCTAATATGGAAAAGCGGTACCAGGGCAAATGGAGCCCAAATATGTTAGCAGATTACTGCTGGACAATTAAAAGGGACCAACCAGAAGCTAAATATTCAAGAAAATCTTAGATTATTAAGTCATTTATAAAAAAAAAAAACTTTTGATTTACGAGATCTGTGTTTTTTCTTAATATTTTAAATTACTCAATAGAATAAAATCCTTGTCTAGCAAATTTTTTTTAACTGTTTATTTTTTCTTACAATCACCAATTAAAGTAAAAGATATCAAAAAAGTCCGTGTGGCACGACAAAGTTAAAATTTTGTTGACCAGTGTATTTATCAGAAATCATTTAGCCTTTTCTCCAGGACTTCTCTTTAATTTTTTTTTGTTCAATAAATGTCTGTATGCCTTGTGAGTTTGTGTCTCCTTTGCTCCAGAGACCCAATCGTGTTAGTTATTATTTCATTTCCTACTTTTTGAAATTAGGTGGCGCCCAAAGCGCAACAGCGTTGCATACAAAAACCAAGGTACAAAGAACCTCACTCTCGGGGGACTCATATCTACCAACTGACCATAGTTTTCACGGAATAACAAGCTGCTGGGAAAAAGCTAGGATATATGTCTATGGTAAGAAGTAATTTTCTCCGCATGACCTCCTGACTCTATACAAGGCCCAGATAAGACCTAGCGTCGAGTATTACTCACGCTTTTGGGGTGCTGCCGCCTCGGCTACATTACTCATGCTCGATTCTGTCTAGAGAAGGGCTGTCCGACTGATCTATGAGTCTTCTCTAACAGACAGCCTCGGGACCCTTCCGCTCCGGCGGGCCGTTGGTGTTCCAGCTCTGTTCTACCGTTACATCAACGGGCTTTACTCCTCACAGCTCTCCTCCATGATGCCGCCGCGCGATGTGCTTGCCAGACAGACCCGCTTGACTCTGGCCTCACCAACCGAGTCGAACTTTTACGTAATAAATCGTAATAAATCATAATAAATCGTAATAAATCGTAATAAATCGTGATAAATCGTGATAAATCGTAATAAATCGTGATAAATCGTAATAAATCGTAATACATCATAATAAGTCGTAATAAATCGTAATAAATCGTTATAATTCGTAATAAATCGTAATAAATCGTAATAAATCGTTATAATTCGTAATCAATCGTAATAAATCGTAATAAATCGTGATAAATCGTGATAAATCGTAATAAATCGTAATACATCATAATAAGTCGTAATAAATCGTGATAAATCGTAATAAATCGCAATAAATCGTAATAAATCGTAATAAATCGTAATAAATCCTAATAAATCATAATAAATCGTGATAAATCGTAATAAATCGTAATAAATCGTAATAAATCGTAATAAATCGTAATAAATCGTAATAAATGGTAATAAATCGTAATAAATCGTAATAAATCGTAATAAATCGTTATAATTCGTAATAAATCGTAATAACTCGTGATAAATCGTAATAAATCGTAATAAATCGTTATAATTCGTAATAAATCGTAATAACTCGTGATAAATCGTAATAAATCGTAATAAATCGTAATAAATCGCAACAAAATCGTAATAAATCGTGATAAATCGTGATAAATCGTAATAAATCGTGATCAATCGTAATAAATCGTAATACATCATAATAAGTCGTAATAAATCGTAATAACTCGTGATAAATCGTAATAAATCGCAATAAATCGTAATAAATCGTGATAAATCGTAATAAATCGTAATAAATCGTAATAAATCGTAATAAATGGTAATAAACCCGTACGCACGCCACTGTTAAAGCTAAAAACTATTTTTGCATTGAAAAATATGCAACTTTATTAACTTTCACTACGCACTAAATATCAGTGAAATATCTGAAGCGGTTCTGAAAATATTAATTAATTTCCTTTTTTTCCCTAAAACTTCTTGTAAGGAAATATTTTTGGACCATAGTTTATAAAGCAAACTAACACTAATTTTTCATGTAGATTCACATCCTTAAATATTCGCATATCATTAAGGAACACCCTGTAGAATTTCATGACAATCGAAAAAAATAAATCATAAACTTATGTAACGCTTTTTGAGGAAATAAAACTAAGTCACGAATAAAACTTGAAATGTTTATTCCTTAATCAAAACTGATACAAACTTGTAATGTACACGATTCTAATAATATCATTAATCAAATAAAGATAATATGAGACAAGAAATCAATATCAGGTAAGGTGTGGCAAGAAAAAATAAGCAAATGAAAAGAGGTTTTAGAAAAGAAACACTTTGGTTGATAAACTGGACTAGTAAATTAGGTTTTTGATTAAATAATACCTTACATCTAGTTTTTATATACAATAAAATGTAAATCTTTCAGTTAACAAAAAACATATGTACATTCTCAAAAAAATGAAGATTTACAAGGCAGTAAGAAAATATAGTGTAACATCAAATAATGGTTATTCGCATAGGTTGAAATCACATCAATAGTCGATTATCTACAACTGATTATCAGCAACAATATTTCCAGCCATTTTGCTGAAAACGGACTTAAATTACAAACAAAAGTGCGAAACGAATAAATTATCTCCTCTTATCCAAACGCAAAACAAGAATTCTTATACATCAATAGTATATAACAACGACCGAAAATAAACATATTGAAGAAAATCAAATATACAATCTCTCTATTTGGTAAAACAGTCATTTTTTTACATATCATTAGATATGGATAATCATGTTACGGTCAATACTGCAACATAGTATAAATACCAGATTCCCGCTATATAAATCCATTACTTCTTAGTTTCCTCCACATATTATGAAATAAAACAGCGCCTCTAAGAATTCAACAAAACATTATACTCAGTCTCACTTATGAACTCAAAAATTCTTCTAAATTAGCCCTCATACGTTTAGGCCATTCCTACATTGTGGAGTGGCAGATACCTTCACCAACACGCCATTCCACAAGTACATCAAGAAACTCCGATTACCAAAATTAGTTCCTCATGGAAAAATGTTTCATTTACCTTGCCTAGACATGTATCAAAATGTACTTTGGGTAACAAAATGGCTTATCGTATGGTGGATAGACTTTTACAATGTCAGCACAAATCAAGGATACCCTGTAGAATAACTGAATATAGCCTTACACCATAAATTTTCAACCAACAAACTTCCACAACTAATAAAGTTAATATGTGCAGAGATAATGGACAAATACACTCGATGTGTAAAAAGAAGTTATTTATTTATTAATAGTTTGTTCTTCGATGTATGCTTAGCATTTCCGTTGGTTCAGAAATTGGTACAGGTAGTAAATACGATATAGCACTAGATTTATTCATCATTATAACGATGTGAATGACAGCATGTAAGTAATGTTCGATCTTAATTACGTGAAGGCTTCGACGAAGTAAATAGAACAATTGTAGTACCCCGTTTCCGGCCAAACCCACGAGTTCAAATCGCGCACCACGCCCTTCCACCTTCCCCCCGAAAATGTGGTACGAGAATAAGGAATGAGCGTTTGTTAGCCAGCGGCCGGAGAGGAGGAAGGTGGAAGGGCGTGGTGAGCAGCTTTTCTTCGCTCGTGGGTTTGGCCGGGAAACGGGGTACTACAATTGTTCTATTTACGAGACGAGGCCGGAACATAATACGAAACAGTCTATGACTTATTTAGTTGTCGTTTCAGATAGGTTTTGAACACTAGTTTCCGGGTTCATGATATAGACCAACACAGTGAAAAGGTAGGAAAAAATTATTATCGATAAACGGCTGGCCGTCCGGGCTATTATAATATGAGCAGTTTGGTCTATTCACGTGATAACGAGGGAAACTTAACAGACACCAAACCTAATCTAAAAAATAGCTGAACCATCACGTACGCTTTCTGTAATGATGAATTTGTGGTGCTCGAGTTGAAAATTTAAGGAGTTAAATATAGCAGCTATTTCAGAAAAACAATATCACCTTCCATACATCACATCGATCGAGTATTGCGTCACTGTGATTGCAGCAGTCTGATATGCAACACTTAGTTGAAATTGGACTCACATCGCATATCGTCTCAACTAGCGTTTCAGTCAGTTTAGAGTTTAACTAGTGTAATAATGCTCTACTTACATGACACAACGTTACCATCAAAACATTGCATTACTTCGTATCAATAATTCTATATATTGACATAAATATGGAAAACATTAATTTATGTACATATCTGATGCTGATTTATAGAACGGCGAAACATTATACAATCGAAGCATTATTACGCTGAGCCCGAAGAATGTAACATTCAGACAAATCCGAAGTATAAAAGTATTATGAACAAATATCTAACATACTCTTTACAAAACGTACAAAATATCGGCCGGATTTCACACGAGGTGACCCTCCTGCTCGTTCACGCCATAACCATTGCCGAAGCTGGTCAGCTCGCGTTTTTGAGCTAGTGTCTGTGCTTGCAGGATCTGTGCGTTCTGACTGGTGTTGTGAAGCACGTCAGGGGGAGGGTCTATGCTCCGCTGGTGACGTAAAAGCGAGCCGTTGGACGAGAGGGGCGGAGTGATGGGTGCCCCGTGGGTGTGACCCATATGGGGGTGAGCAGGCACGGGAGGCGGTGTCTGGAAATCCAGTGGTGGGGGGTAGGAGAGATAACGGTCCGACATGTTGTAGTAGGAACCATCTGCTGGGGGTGTTGGCGTTGGCGCACTCACGTACGACGATTTCCCTGGAACAAAAAAAAACGCTGTTGTAAAACTGCTGTCAGTAGTACACTGGAACCTTGCGAACTCTTACAATTGGGACGTATGGTTAGTCGTTCCTACAATTGTAGGACGCCTTTATTGCCTCCTTGATTTTCATAGTTTTCTATGTGCGTGTCAGCGCTCTATTTTGAAGTTATGTTGCAAATATCTATTTACATCAAATTGTTCATACTTTTGATGTATATCATCCGTTATATCAACCTGAAATTTCCTACAATTAAAGAAAACATAGCCTCACAATAGGAGAGCGCTGATGCTGACACGGAACAGTAGAAATCTGGAAATTCCCCAGCCTTTCTGAAGGAGGGAGAGAGAGAGAGAGAGAGAGAGAGAGAGAGCAGACTTTGAAAATCAAGAAGGCCAGAAAGCCGTCCTACAATTTATTTTCAAAATTTTTTCTCCTCCAGTAAGGCACGTGTAACGGGTCCGATATTTTTCTTGGTCATGGAACGATTGTCTCTAGCTGTCTACTGTTCCGTGTCAAATGTTTTGAGGTTGGTTTATATTTTTTTTGCTCTAAGAAAATTTAGATGAATCAAATGCAGATGCATATTTCCATGCAAATAATGTCGATAGGTAGATAATTTTTCCCTACACTGGACAAATTTCACAGGTATGATATCTTCAAAAAATTGTTGGGTAAGGAAAATCCCATATCTGGTGTTAAAGATCTCAAAATGAATAATCAATTTAATGCAAATGTATATATATATATATATATATATATATACAAAAGTGATGCTAGGCTTCATCCTGAAAGATGCGCTCTAGCATCTCATGTTAACACAACAGGGCATTCTATTAATTACACAAGTATCAAAGTTCTTGATAAAGAAAAACACCTTTCCAAACGTTTATTCCTGGAAATGTCCCACATTTTCATGAATAACAACTGTATCAACAAAAAGACAGATGTTAAACAACTGAGTGTCATTTACTCATATTTGCTAAACTGCGAAAAATTGGAGAACTTACATATCTCCCCAAATTTCGACTTTTCACAACCATAAATATAATCTGTGTTTTGGCCGATTCCACCAACAAATTTCATTCCACTCAATATCTAATAATTCTCTTCTCACGATTTATTAATAATTGTAAATTTAAAATTCCCATTAATTAAAACATAGTTTATTCAACTGCCTCTGGTCGGTTTAACAATTTCTTACATAACATTCTGAAAATCACATCATCTGAAGTGATTTGGCAACGTTTGGCACACGCCCACAATTCGTTACATCTTTCAACACAGACATTGACAACCTTCGGCCTTCTGTCAAAGGTTCATCTCACTCATTATTCCATGACCACCATTTTGTGCAATCATCAAGTGGCTTCACGATGTAATGCTCTAATGTTTTTTAAATAATTTTTAATCTGTTTTTAACTTGTCTTGTCATATTTTATATAATTTTGACCATTGTACCATGTATCCAGCTCTCACCATGTTACTGGACGTTTCCCTCATCCTATACGTAAACAACAATTAGCAACATCCTCACATACTACTGTAAGTTGAGTCAATTTAAATTCATTTTACACTTTTGTTGCTACTGTTATCATTGTAATTGCAGCTCCTGATGATGATGGCAAAGTCCATTGAAAGCTAGAGAGAATTAAAAAAAGTGTAAAGAGTCCGCTTTGCTTAAATTTTGTCGCAGTACCCAACAAAAGGCGGAAGCTTTAATTTTTCACCTAACTGGTCTAGACGACAATGACCACGTCTCAAGTATATACGATAAAATTCAAGCAATGACGACTCTTTATATTTTATTAATCTCTAGCTTTCAATGGACTTTGTCATCTTCATCAGGAGCTGCAATAACATTTGGAAGAAATAGCAACTGTTGTGCAAAATGATTTTAAATTAACTTACAGTAGCATGTGAGATTGTTGCTAAAAGTTATTGACGTTTAAGTTGAGGGAAATACCCAGTAACCTGGTGAAAGCTGGATACATGGTATATTCGTCAAAATTAATATAAACTACACACAGCTGTATGTCAGGAACAAATTAAAATGGATTAAAAATATTTAAAACGAAAGTTAAAATTACATCGTGAACCACCTGATGCTGCACAAAATGGTGTGGCACAGGATCATAAGTAGGATGAAACATTTGACAGATGACAGAAGGTTGGTGGTGTCAGTGTCGATGGATGGAATGAACATTTTTGTCAAGTGTGTGCTATGTTGCCAAATCACTTCAGATGGTGTGATTTATCAAGATATGTTAAATAAGAACTTGTCAACAGACCAGAGGCAGTTGAACAAACTATATTGTTGATGAGATGGACAATTGAATTAAACAATTATTATTTTATTATGAGAAAAAACAATTATTCAAATTTCAATGGAATGGAAATTTTGGAGGGAAAGGGTGGAATAGACTTTTTGTCCAGATTCCATTTATGGTTGTGAAAAGTCAAAATTTGGAGAGATGTGTACGTGCTCCAACTTTTCGCAGTTTAGCAAATATGAGTAAATGACGCTCAGTTGCTTAACATCTGTCTTCTTATTCATACAGTTGTCATTCATGAAAATGTGGGACATTTCCAGGAATAAACGTTTGGATAGGTGTTTTTCTTTATCAACAACTTTGATACCCGTGTAGTTCATAGAGTGTCATGTTGTATTGACATGAGATGCCAGAGCACATCTCTGTCAAGTCCATTGAAAGCTAGAGACTAATTGAGTATAAAGAGTCCTCATTGCTTGAATTTTGTCGAAGTACCCAACAAAAGGCGGAAGCTTCATTTTTTCACCTATATATATAACGTGAACCGTGGTCATTGTGGTCTCAACAACCAGTTAGGTGAGGAAAAGCTTCAGCTTTTATTGCGTAGTTCGAAAAATTAGTGCAAAGTGTACTCTTGTAACTTCATTCTTTAGCTTTCGATTAACTATATCATCATCAGGAGAAAAGTAGACGAGATTGTTGCTAAAAATGATATTAAATAAGTTAATGAGAACACTTAGTAACATGATGAACACTGGATCCATCCATATGTCAAGAAACAACAACGAATTTAAAAACTTGTAAATTTTTTTGATTTCTTACATCGTGAACATCTTACTATTGGTTTTGCACCCAATTTTAAAAAAAATTCAATATGTAATAAAATCTTATACAATTTAACTATAATTTCTGTTGAAATATCTTTAAAATGATTATTAGAACAAAAAAATACTCTTACTGTAGCCTTTCAATTCAAAATGTTTTAATATTTTTTCAAAAAGAACCTCGAAAATCTATTTTTTGATCGTTCTACGAGTACTACGAGGTCTCATCCACATTTTATAAGATCAAATTTCAGCACCAATCTCGCTGACGCAGTAACAAAATTTCAGTTAAATGAGTATGGTTGCTATTTATTTTTAGCTCCTAATGATGACAGCATTGACTGTCGAAAGCTTGAACAAGTTAAAATAATTTTGTTTGGGCTTACCATTTCAAAACTGCAGGCATATTTTACACACACATTTTGGAGTGAAATAATTAAAAATAAAAAAAATGCGAAGTTACCCAAAGTTTGGTTCGAAATGTTACTTCTGGTTTATCATTTCAAGTGTTTCTAAATTCGTTTTTTTTATCAAAAAGTACAGAAAATTTCCTATACACGTTTCATATTCCAATATAGTACTTTTCAATTAGAAAAAATTGTTTACTTTCACACAAGTTACTGGGCGCTCAAATGCCCTAATTGCAGAAAATCACATCCGACAGGATATTCATTAATGTTGCGTTAATTTCAAGGATTTAAATATGTTCCGAACACTTCAAGTATTTTACGTTGCACACTATCTAGTTCCTATTGGCTAATGCGTTCGTTACCTGACATGCCATGACCGTGATAGCCGAGACTCTGGTCGTCTCTAGCCCGCGGCCGTTGGTCGTGGGCGTGGTGATGATGATGGTGGGGATGGGGCAAAGTGTGTGTCTTGTGGGCCATCGACAAACCACCCGAAGGCAACTGCATCTCGTACACTGGGTACGCACCTGGATAATCTGCAGCTACTGTAACGGGTGGCGGTTGATGCTGATGCTCCAGCAGGTACGAGTTGCCCATTTGGTTCCTAGAGTCGCTCTGAAAAACAAATCAGCTGGTCACCTCATAGTGAAATTCAAATTTTGTCATAAATGCCAGCGGAACTCAGAAACCCCAAAAAGGGGTAATTGATAGATATGGGCGCTCAACATGTTCTCTAAGGAAAGTGCGTGGTTCTTCCACAAATTGCGTAGTGCATTCTTTAAGACCAGCAACTACAATATTGCAAATCAAAATACATACCGCATAGTCATTGTTACTGCCTTCATTGCTGTAAGTTTCGCTCTTCTCACTGACTGATGATAAAGTTTCTCCAGTCACAGTGTCATTGTAACTGCTTGGCGCGTACATTTCAATGGTAGCTGTCTTGTTTGTTGGGTTGCTTTGTTCTGTGAATGAATGTCGAATATCAGTACCTAATACAGCAATCAACAAATGTAAAAAAGAAATACGGATTAATCTATACATAAATGGAAAAGTCGATCAAACAACTAAAATATTTACGCGAAGCCACTTATGCAGAGCTGATAGAGTAACAGTCATGGAATTGTTACTCAGATAAAAAGTCACATGGGTACTTCTTTGTTGTTTATTTGTCAAATCTAAACGGAAGGAATCTCAATCGTTCTAACAAGCGAAATACAAAGAAAGGGAAAGTTCGAAGGCCACAGTTACAAAACATACTAAAGCATCATCTCTATACATGGTAACTATGGTATCTATGTTCCAAGACATGAAAAAAGAGAATTAATGTACACATCGATGAGGATATCTGTACTGTCGCAATTTGTTCAAGATCTATACGAAAGATATAGCAAAGGTGCGTAAGGTAGAGAAACAAAAAAAACATCAGTTTCATGGTTCAAGTCAGCAACGGATAGACAAAGGTGGTGCAAAACTGCAAGTTTGACGGATCGGAAGTCTAATACCGAAAATACAGCTACGTAAGTGTAAAAACGATAGTGTGCCATCTTCCCGTGAGTCATACAATCTACTAGCAGCGTACAATACCAACGAATTCAAAATAGGTAGAGAGAGCCAGTTGTTTGTCTCTTAATACTCATAGTCTGTAGTGAAGATCAAAGTGTACTTGACATAAGTACATTTTTTTACCGTTCTGTCACTAATTTTTTTTATTTAGGGCCGTATCGTCAGTCGCCACTATAATTGTAGGACGCCTTTATGGCCTCCTTGATATTCAGTCATTTCTCTCCTTCTGAAAGGCTGCGGTATTTAATGATTTCTACTGCTCCGTATCAGCGTCAGCGCTCTCCTATTGTGAGTTTGTTTTCTTTTTGAATCTCAAGAAATTTCAGGTTGATAAACAAATGTTACAAATCAAGTTTCATCAGCCTAAAATTTCTTTGAATTCAAAAAGAAAATATAACCTCAAAATAGAGCGCTTATACGAAACAGTAGAAATCTAGAAGTACCTCTTCCTTTTTGAACAATTGATGAAACGGCTTACTATTTTGTTGATACAAAGTTGTCTGGTAGACATTGGTGGATAACTGCGTCAAAAGTACGCACTAAAACTACGCAAATCTATTCGAATTCGCTGTACAGTACCAAAGCCTTCATATAAATTCATAATATCCTTTATTGGTTGCTGGAAAGCCAGTAAATGCTTTTGAAGGGGGATGTGGGTCGTCGTCACAAGAAAAAAGGATCGAACAACGAAAACTAAGTAAATACTATTTAGTGAGTCCAAGGTAGATAAGTCATTCATTCAGATGTAGGTTCGGCTGCGCAACTTTTCTTAAAATTCGTGTGAGTCATCATTTTCCGGTTGATGAGTTGGTTAGGAAGGTTGATTTTCAGATTTTGGGATACTTGGCCCCAATCACCAGTTTATGGAGTAGCACCCTTTCTTTTACCTACTTTATGTTTAGTTGTTTTGGTTTGGGTGCTGCCCCTCCCTGCTTATGGGTTTTTAATCTGTTCAGCGTGCGAAGGCATTGAGGAATATCGCCATTAGCACCATTGCACCACGGTTTAGATGCATGTATCAAAGAAATCGAAAAAGTATGAATTTTTGTCATAATACGATTTATAACAAACCATTTCCTTATATTAAATTATATGAGCATTAATTCAACCACTATACTTTACTTAACTTGCTTAAATGGCTTCCAATACACAGAATCTACTTTTTTTGACCTAACTATAATATGTGTATGTTATTCCTTTTGTCAATTGGAAATATTGTATGTTTTTTGTATCCTCTGTCGTTTATTTACGTTAATATGTATAAAAGAAAGGATCATGTGAAAAAAGGTATATAAGAAATAGAAAAATAATGGGCAAAATCGCAAAAAGAAGGAAGTGGATTCGAGCAGAAAGTAGGATAGGTGACCCGAGCAATACGTATTTCTGCTTGTTGGCTTCATCAGGCCCGAAATGAATGCACATATATAACAAAAGTAGACAGACATGCCCATACATACGGATACGGGTGTAACCAGAGGAAACGAAGATGGAGATGAACAAAACAACACACGAAGTCACCTACAAGAGCCCTACACTTTTATATACCTTTCTCCGCATGATCCTTTCTTTGCCGATAGCGTTCCGTTTCGATATTATAAATTCTCCCCGTACTTTTTCCTTATGTTATCAATTAATACTCGTAATTTTATATCGCATAAGTATAAAATAAGGTTGAAGGTGGCTTTATATGTAGCAATATAGACTGTAAATAAAAATAAATAACCGATATTTAAATAACATGCATATACCCTACTTTCGAACAATAGATTTTGGAAGAAACGGTGAAAATAAATAAAAAAAAACAAACCTCTCATTCTTTTTGCGCGTCTCCTCAGTACGCATCCAGCGACTAACCCGATATTGATAAACAAAAGAATGACGCCAATGATGGAGACGCTGATAATAACAATTCTAGGCAAATCTTGCCGTTCCAAGAGTTCTTCAGGGATGGCTTTCTGAAGATGGTCACCAACATACACTATAAATAAAAAAAAGAAACGAAATGTGAATCACCTGTGAGACGTTTCTTGGATCTGCGATGTAAGCAGCAGCCGATCAGGAGGATGTTCATAAGGACGAGCATAATTCCTACAGCCGTCGCCAGGATAACCAGGAAGCCAGGGAAAGCACGCATGCTTTTTTCGTCCAAACTTGACGATGTATACGACGGGGGCAGGTTACCTAAGGTTAGTGTGTTAGTTTCAATACCTACGCTATGTTAGTAAGAATATTTGCATATAGTCCTAGCTATTAGGTTATTAAATTGCACAGTTTTTCTTTAACTACTACATATAGTAGCATTAAAAAAGACATGCCTGGTCGTTTCTGACAGTATCGCGGTTTGTTCCCAAAATACAGCGGAAAAGGTCAAATATCGGATATATGGGTGAGGAAAAAATGCATTCAAATTAATGTATATCATCAATATTATAAATCATGGAACAGTCTTTTTTAGTTACAGTTCAAAACAATAAATATTTCTCATATCTAGCATCTGATCAACCAAAAGTCTAGGCTGATTTAAAATCAATCCCTTCCGTTCTCTTTTCAGTTTGCTAGATGAAGGCACTGTTTTAAATGTACAGGCACTATATAATATAATTCTGGACCTAAAAAAGACAAGCTTCATTGCCCAACATTTTTTGTAAATTTCGATACGATTTTAAGCACTTGTATGATGATCGTGTTTATTATTTATACTACTTTCATACCTTTTCACAACAAAGTTGTTTACAGTCAAGCAATTGTGACCCTTTATACAGCTCATTTGTAGGATATATGTAAAAGTTTTATTGAATATTAACTTCATGATGCGTTTTTGACTGACATCAATTTTCTTATAATACAAGTTTGAAACTGATGCTAATAGTCCATATGATGAGTGGTTGTACCAAAGCATTGTAAACAGTTTTTCAATCAAAATATCCTTGAAAAATCTAAATTTTGGAATAAGGCACCTCAACCGTTTTGCCAAGCTTTTAATATCCCATTTAAGATGCTTGTCAGTACTTATCCCTAAATATACTGTCAGCTAATTTTATGTCAACTGTTGGAGCACTAGATGGCAATGTCACGGCAATATTTGTAAAAGGTGGAAAGATCTACCATCCAAAAATCTAGATATTGCGTTTTTTCCAGATTGATGGTTAAACTTAAAAAATCTATAATAATTCAGAAATCTTCAAATAAATCTCTTAGCGAGGCTCAGTTTTATCAGTAGAAAATACAGCAGTTTCATCTGCGAAGCCAACAATTTCTCCTTGAGTCTCTATAGGAAACAAGTCGTTTACGTAGAGTTTGAATATAATTGGCCCTAAAACTGTTCCCTGTGGTATACCATATTTTTTGTAATGAAGACTACTTGTTGTGCTATTTGCTTTTATACTCTTTCTGATGCTAAATATTGAAAACAGCTGTATGAAGTATGTCATTATTAAAATATAATATATTCACAATAAAAGGACATGTGTTGAATAAATTGAACAAAAATTATTAATCATTGATAAACTACCTATAATATACTTATAATGATCGAGGAATTCAAATTTTGTGTGACAATTCCAAGTAAAAAGAATACTTAACTCAAACACACATATTTATTGGTCATAAGTAAAAAACAACAATGAACTTAAATTAAGTACTTGTATTAGAAATAACATTTGTTGTGAAAAGTAAGTGTTTAACTGCTATTTATCTTTCCAGGAACTACTATTGTAGCTTTTTGAGTTGCATAACATATTCCTTGAGCATCACTTGCAATTTTTATCAATACAGTGTCATTTGCATTGGCATATTTCTTGAATTTTTTTCCTATTTCTGGATTTTTCACTATATTTCGTGATTTCTAGATTTCTTTGGGAGAGAGAATCAGACTGATTTACTTTTTAGTAGCTCTTACGGTTTCGGATGAAATATTGCCTGTTCCATGCTGATTTTTTACATCCCTGTATCAAATTCTTTTGTAGGATAATTATTTGGTGGCGTAACACCCCTAATTTTTTCAAACGACACTATCTTTCGGCCTTGCCAAAATTCAGGATAGTTATTAGCCCCTTATACATACGAGAATTTAACAGTTTTTTTGCAATGACTTTCTTTATTAATTTATTGAATGACGCTAGCCTGATCTCAGTATTAAAAACCTACACAAGCTTATTTTAAAAAATAAGAGCGAAAAACTGTTTTTAGAAGAAGAAGAAATGTAATCTATAAACTGTTGCATGTGAGTGCATTCCCAACACCGTATTTTCAGTTCATTTTTTCATATAGTCACGTCAGTCTTTTAACATTGACATAAAATGAATTATTTAACGTAATTTGATTAGAGCGTTAGGATTTCAATCTACTCATTAATAAATAGAATATTACTACTTTTTTCTAAGCTACGTCAGTAGTTTTGGCACTTATCGATCAGTGGCATATAGTGTATTATGCATTAGAACAATATGGTATTTCTCTCCACACTTTTACCATTTTTGTGGACATAAAATGTATTTCTGGCCAAATGAAATCACATACAGGGACATAACGTTTCTGTTATATTAGTACACTACATATAACACACTCCCGCATCCTTTCACAACAATCTGTGGCAGCGCCATCTGAAGAAAGCTACCCTAATTAAGCCACCATAAGCAGTATCATCACTAGCTTTTCATATACGCATTATTTCCAAATTTGAGCAGAAGTACTTGGCATTATTCTGAAATGTCTAAGACGAGCGAAGTCTTTTATTAGCATTTGATTATGAGAATCTGAAAAGCGGAAAAAACTTGCTCGAAATCCAAAAGATGTTACTGAGAAAGTTAATATAGATCTTTTAAATTACTTACTTGATGTCTTTGCAGATAGTAGGTCAGGCAAATATTTGCTACTTCCAAGCTTGTTCGAGGCCATAATGGAGAAAACATACTGCGTATCTATCTCAAGGTTTTTAATTGTGTGCACAGTAAGGTTGGAGTGCAGCACATCCTCGTACTTGTAAACATCCTCATCAGGCTTGCGATATCTACGAAAACATTATATCAGTCTCAATCATTGCCGCCAAATGAGACAATAGATATTGAATTGGAAATTCGACGTGGTTTCATTGGAGATTTATCAGCAAGACCACCACCGGATAAGTTTCAGATGTTACACTGAATAGGTCATATTTGAACACATCCAAGTCTTGAAACTAGTTGTGTTTTGATTTACAAACTACACCTATTCGCTGGGTGCGAGATGACAGAGCCACCTAGCGGGTGTCGGACGGGAATATTTGTGATTGAAAAGTACAATATAAACACCGAAGATACAGAAGAAGAGGTGATAACAATAGACGAGGTAAAAGAAGCACTGAAGAAACTTAAAACTGGAAAGGCACCTGGAATAGATAAAATAACAGGGGAAATGTTGAAAAATATAGATAGAATACTACATTCTCTCTTCACAAAAATATATAGACAACAGATAATACCCAAGCAGGGTTGATTTTATCACTTTTCAAGAAAGGAGACAAGAAAGATTGTAATAATTACAGAGGAATAACGCTGCTGTCTACAGTACTTAAGGCCTATGAACACATAATAGAGAAAAAACTAAGAAAGTCAATAGAGCCGACATTGCCTGAAACACAAAGTGGCTTCAGAAAGGGAAGAAGTACTCAGGATCACATATTTACTATTAAAAACTTGATAAGTATTTTTACCAAAAGGAAAACCAATGTACATTGCCTTCACGGATATGGAGAAAGCTTTTGATAGAGTTCCACGAAAAAAGTTAAAAGAGAATTTGCTGAGAAAAAATGTTCCTGTAAAATTAGTAGAAGTGATCATGAGTATATACCACAAGACTAACAACCGAGTAATATCCAGAAATATCATGTCCAAAGAATTCGCTACTACAGAGGGAGTACGTCAAGGCGGAGGACTTAGGCCCCTATTATTTATAGTATTTATGGATTATCTGGTAAGAAAATGGAGGCAAAGAACAAAACCAATTTTTGTTGGATACAGGAAGTTGCAGAAAGTGGAATTAGCAGAGTGCGCATTTGCAGATAATTTGGTGTTGGTAACTGATAGTGTTGGGAGTTTACAGGAAAATTAGTGGGCTGAACACTTCCTGTATCTCGAAGTCTTTGGTACACTTGCACAAATGTCCTTCTGTCTGAAATTTGAGAAAAGAAAATCATTGGAGAGGGTTTGGCCTAGGAATCAGTACTCTATAAAGAGAAATTCAAAATGGTAGAAAAAAAGGTTTTTGGCACGTTACAAGGTATTTTTTTGTCATTGTTTCGCCAAGGCAAGCCACTAATGTTACAGATCTCTTACCTGATTCTATAAGACGCCTCCATCCCTCCATTGAACCCAGGCACCCACATCAATGTGACCGCATCGTGAGTGATATTGACGACGCTCAATTGCGCGGGGGGATCCGGCACCGCGGTGATCTCCAGTCTGGGTGAGATGGTTGAGAAACCGAGCTCGTTCCGGGCGACGCATTCATAGCTGCCATAGTCCGCGGACGTCACGTGGGTGATGCATAGCGTCGACTCGGACACCAGTTGACTGACTTGGCGATACGTGCTGTAGTATTTGCCGGTGGTGTTAGAATTGATCGGAGAGCCGTTCCTCGCCCAGGTGTAACGCGCCAATGGCGATGCCTGGCTCCTGCAAATCAGTTTGCCGGTATTGCCAGCATCGCTGGCGAATTTCATGTATTGCGGACTGTCGTCTATCTCCGGTTTGTCTGCAATATAATAATAGTTACAGGATACTATGTGCCTGGTTAAGCGGCGAGTGTCAGGTGTAATGTACAACATAACTAACATTTCTTTTGATTCTGATTTTGACAGTCACAGACAAGTTACCAACTACTGTGCAAACAACCCAAATATCATTAGCGACACTAAAAATATTGTAAAAGGATTGAATTATCGAGAATGTGCTTCGAAGATGGTATAGTAACACAAAAAATATTGATTGCAGAACGAATGAACGCTTACTTTATAGAAAGTATCAACTTATAATTCTTCTATGAGTCAATTCCGAACAATAAGCAGCAGCCATCTTTTAAAAACCATTTCCAGATTAAAATCGAATGCAAATCTTTGAACATCTTTCAAAAATGGATCTAAAATAATGTTTCAACCATATTGGAGATAAGTTATTATTGTTAGTGAATCATTGTTTAGTGTAAGATGAATTTAATTCGAAATTAAAGTGTTATACAATTACTCCTTTTCCAAAAGTGCAAAATTCTGAGTACATACAAACATGCGGCCGATTAATGTACTGCAAGATGTCAAGGATCATATATGAAAAAATCATTGAATATATTGAAGAAAGCAAGATATTGACAAAATTTCAAGTAGGATCCAGAAAAAATATTTTACTGAAGCAGCAATTCAAATGGTAGTAGAATAATGGAGGAGAAATATGAATAAAAAAGGGTTTACAGTAACACTGTCCTTGGGGATTTCAAGAGGGTATTTGAAGCTATTGACAGGGAGAAACTTTTAACGAAATTGCATTACTAAGGAAGGTTCAGTATTCAACATATTACAAAATTATTTAATCAATAGAAGTCAAACAACTAAAATTGGCAATACATTATCAAGCATTAAAAACATTTCAGTAGGTGTGCCACAGGGTAGCAAATTAGGTCCATTACCATATATTTTATATATTAACGATATTCCTGATGTTTTACAACACTGCAAAATTTAAATATTTGCTGATGATACATTAATATACACATATCAAATAAAGACATTGAAACTGCAATATACCTGTTAAATAATGACATGAAAAACATAATTAATTGGTTAAATGTGAATAAGCTCAAACTTATCCCAAACAAAACAAAATATATGCTTATAGGAAAATCTTTAGATGAAAATACGATAAATCTTACGATTAATCATGAAAAAATTGAGTCATTCGGATTTAAATATCCGGGCCTATACGTAAGCAGAAAATTAAAATTTGAAGGGCACTATGAATATATTATTTCAAAAATATCCAAAAAAATTAATTAGTTTATTCTAAAAAAAAATGTGTACAACACTATCATTCTTCCTCATTTGTTATACTGTTCGACTATTTTGTTCACTGCAAACGAAAATTACAAATATAAAATAAAGCTGTGAGAATCACATTAAATAAAAGTAAATAAACTAGAATAAATTAATTTAAATAACAAATTAAACTACAATGGCCAAATATAAAAAAATACATAACGCACTTGGTTTAAATTTTCATATTCAAGTTAGAAAATCGTCTACAAATTTTTTTTATTGAACAATGAGTACCATAGTATATACTTTCATTTACAAAAAGTAATTCAAAAGAGATTGTACGAATTTAATAAAATAAGTGACGATATCAAGATGTGTGCCAGTTTGAAAATGGTCAAGGGGTTATTGAGAAAATATTTCATGGAAAGCGAGAATTCATATTAGTAAAATTTTGTATAAAAATATGTAGTCTTGATTATGTGATATACTGTGTAACATGGATATTGCAGGACTAATGCTAAATAAATCTAAAACAAACATACAGAATTAGTTTTTAGTGTGTGTTTTTATATGGTGTGTGTCTCGGCTGCAGACGCACGTCGAGAACAAAACAAAAAAAAATTAATACAAAAAATAACACATACCTTTAAAAAACATAAACAAAATCGAAAACAAACACTAAGTAATAAAACAAATAATCAACAATTACAGAACAAAGTCGGTAAAATGGTTATTTAGAAACTCGTCTATGCTGTAAAAAGCTTTCGTCACTAAATATTTTTTCACAGTTGCTTTAAAAATAGTTGAGTGTTCGACATAACCTGGGCAGCGTATTAAATAAATTTTCACCGAAATAATTACTTCCGTGTCTAGTTTTTGATAGTCTTGTACGAGTATATTCTGGTATTAATTCATTGTGTTATATTTGCGAATCTCTTTCGAAGTTCTGTAATCATCATACTTTTTTAACATGGATCAGACATTCCAATATATATATATATATAATAGGATATATATATATATATATATATATATATATATATATACAGGGTGACTTCGAAGGTGAGTCATTTATTTTAACAGTGAGTAGATCTGATCAAAAGAAATGTTTTTTTCCTTTACCATTTTTCTGGTAAAATTAAAGTAACAAAGTTATAGCCCTTTGGAAGTTTGAGTACTGCCCAGTCTCAATAATAATATTATGTGCTCGTGTTTGGCGACAACGGATATAATTCGCCTTATCGGTTCATCGCATCGGAAACAAAAAAGCGAAAGAATTTGGAACGATGTTTTTACAATTATTTCATTGAGTTGTATACAGTCAGTGTCAGTCGGTAGTGAATAGTGGTGTCTGTTGCGTGGCTCAAACGAAATAAAAAATGGCTCATGTTTAAGCGGATCGGTTTCCCAATCGAGTGCAACCAACCCCTCGTGCCTTTGTTAATGTAGCACAACGGGTTCGTGAATCATTTGACTTAAGACCTCACATATGGACGGCATGCCGGTGCTCCAAGACCTCACGATCAAATACAGGTCCGCACTGAAATACTTGCCGGGAGGATACTTTATAAAACAAGGTAACATTTTTTTTTTATTTTTACACACATATTTTGGTTTATCTTCCTTCTACAATCATTATCTGAAAATTAATGACTCATCTTCAAATCCGCAAAAAGGGGAAAGTGGATTCGAGCAGAAAATAGGATAGGTAACCCGAGCGATACGTATTTCTGCTGGTTGGCTTCATCAGGCCCGAAATGAATGCACATATGAAACTACAAAAGTAGATACACATGCCCACACATCCGGATACGGGTGTAACCTGAGGAAACGAAGATGGAGAGAGAGAAAAAAAAAACAACACACGAAGTCCACAACAAGAGCCAACCTACACATTGTAGTATAAAACGGCTAGAAGACCTCGAATTTTCAAGGAGACATCTAACCACAACTACGCGGCCGGTTATAAGTGGCTGTGGTACTAACAAACAATTTTGAAAACTAACATACTATCTTCTGTCTGATAAATAAGACGCAATTAGGGACACTTATTATTAAAACCATATAACGACAACTTTTGACGTAAAATTTGATTTTGGGCGAAATCAAATGCTTCTGTAAGATCATAGAAGCTAGCTAGAGCGAACATGTTAACTTCCAGACATTTGTCGATGGATAAATAAATATAAATAAATAGCGTTAACTACCAAACAGTTAAGGAAACCATTTACAGGACAATCCTAAGATAAATCAAAATAACAAGAACAGAAAACACATAAAACGCAGGTGATTTTATCTAAAGAAAAAAACAAACAAGAAAAAATCAAAAAAACATATTTCACTCAGGGGAGCAACATATCATAAATTATCCAAGCAATTTCTAGCTACTCCCAGAATGCTGTTCAAACTGTCAGAATGTATATCACAATAATTAGATATTGCATTGAAAGTTTCACACATCACATACAGGGTGACTTTGAAGTTGAGTCATTAATTTTCAGATAATGATTGTAGAAGGAAGATAAACCAAAATATGTGTGTAAAAATAAAAAAAAATTAAAAAAAATGTTACCTTGTTTTATAAAGTATCCTCCCGACAAGTATTTCAGTGCGGACCTGTGCGCCCAAAAGCATGTCACAAAAACTGTTCGAAATGATTTCCGTTTTGCTCGACGCACAGCTGGGCGCGTCTTAGCCATGTCTCTTTACAAGCACGCAATAAAATCACTGGTTGATTTCTGATCACTGTACTCATTTCCTCAATTCGAGCACGTAATTCTTCGCGTGTATTAACCGGTGTTTTATACACTAGAGTTTTTAGCCAACCCCACAAACAAAAGTCTAAAGGATTTAAGTCCGGAGACCTTGGCGGCCAAGGTACAAAACCGCCACGGCCGATCCAACGATTATTAAATTGTCTATTTAAAAATTCACGCACATTTCTTGCATAATGGGGTGGTGCCCCATCTTGTAAAAACCACATGTTTTGTCTAATATTTAAAGGCACATCTTCCAGTAAACCAGGCAAATTGTGTTGCAAGAAATCAAAATAATTTTCACCAGTTAAGCGATTTGGTAATTCAAAAGGCCCCACTAAAATTCCATTAACAATTCCCGCCCACAGGTTGATTGGTTCAAATCGCTGTTGAAAATTGGTTTCCCTTATTTCATGGGGATTTTCAATAGCCCAAACGTGAGAATTACGTGAATTAATAATTCCGTTTCTAGTAAAGAGGGCTTCATCACTCACTAAAATTTGATTTAAAAAATTGTCATCATTTTGATGTTTATTTAAAAGCCAATTGCAAAAGTCAACCCTTTGTTCATGATCTTCCGGTTGTAAGGCCTGCACTTTTTGTATGTGAAACGGATAGAACTGATTTTCACGTAGAGTTTTCCAAGTTTTATACTGACTAATCGCCAATTGAGTTGAAATTTGTCGGGTGCTTACTGTTGGATCATCACTTACTAATTCTAAAATTTGTTCTTCTAGTTCTATTTGATCGTGTGGTCTTGGAGCACCGGCATGATCTCCTCTGTGAGGTCTTAAGTCACCTGATTCACGAGCTCTTTGCACTACATTAACAAAGGCACGAGGGGTTGGTTGCACTCGATTGGGAAACCGATCCGCATAGATCCGTGATGCCGCGGCAGCATTTTGTAAAGACTCCCCGTAAATAAGAACCATGTCCACAAGTTCAGCATTTTCGTAAACATGTGCCATTTTTGATTTGAGCCTCGCAACAGACACGATTATTCACTTACGCGTTACCGACTACCGACTGATACTGACTGTATACAACTGAAGAAAATAATTGTAAAAAGATCGTTCCAAATTCTTTCGCTTTTTTGTTTCCGATGCGATGAACGGATAAGGCGGATTATATCTGTTGTTGCCAAACACGAGAACATAATATCATTATTGAGACAGGGCGGTACTCAAACTTCCAAAGGGCTATAACTTTGTTACTTTAATTTTACCAGAAAAATGGTAAAGGAAAAAAACATTTCTTTTGATCAGATCTACTCACTGTTAAAATAAATGACTCAACTTCGAAGTCTGTATATGGGTGACTTCAAAAACAAATTTGTGCGAGCCCTGTCACAATAAAATGTTTTAACTGTACGAGTTTGAATAGATGGATTATTAAAGTTTATTTGAGCCACAATCCCATTAGCATCAATTTGATTGTGCAGTAGTTTATGCAAGAACATAATTGATGCATACTTCCTTCTCAGTTCTAAAGCCTGCATTTGAAACCTATATAAACTTTCAGATATACCACGTTCAGGATATATACCGTCAACTTTAAAAGATAAAAATTTTAGAAACTTTTTCTGAACATGCTCAAGAGAATAAATGTAGCAGTTGTAAATTGTGGGTTACAAATTAACGATGCATATTCCAATGTCGATCTAATATATGCAGAATACAAAACCAACTGTGACTCTGGGCGGCTAAAGCTTCTACAGTTTTTCTCAATAAAACCGTACGCCCGCGAAGCTTCACTCACCTTTCTAGCTATGTGGAGTGAACAATTAAGTTTATGGTCAACCCAAATCCTTAACTGAGTTATAACGATTTATGTAAGCATCTCCAATTCTATAATTTAATTTACAAGCAGAAGTCTTCCTGGAAAAGCTGACTACACTACACTTAGACGCATTAAGAAATAAATTATTCTCGTCACACCAAGCCACTAGATAATCAATATCACGCTGAAGTGCAATACAATCAGTCTCAGACCCAATCATTCTGAATAATTTTAAATCATCCGCGAAGAGGAGCTTATTACAACTTAAATAATGCACAACATCATCAATAAATAACGTAAACAATAAAGGACCAAGGTCTGAACCCTGAGGCACTCCGATTTAGTTATATACTGGTACGACTTGAATCCATTAAAAGTAACATGATAACTGATAAAATCGTTCATTGCTGCTTTCGTTGATCTGTTGGTGCGGTATCCAGACTGGCTATTTCAGAATAAATTGTTACATCCGAAGTATTCCCATATCTGATTCTTCAGAAATATTTAGAGAAATTTTGCTATAATCGGTATCATGAAAATGGGTCTGTATTTACATGGATGATTTTCACATCCTTTCTTAAAGAGTGGGATTTGATTTTGATTTGATGAGTCTGACCTTGAATCTCATACTTGCTATAATCTCCCTATTGAACCATTGAGGATATCAGTGAGATTTAGTTATGAATTTAGGAACACGTTTTTCACACGATTCATAATATCGTAAAAATGACCTTGAACTCAGAAATTGGTGACCAGTTAGTGAGTAGGAATGCATCATACAAAGCATTATAATTTGCTCGGCGAAAATTAAATGGATACTTACGCTTCACAATCAGCATAACGTCCTTCGAGGTCGCATTCCCAACTCCGTTATTTGCTATACACGTGAAAGCACCCAAATCCTCCCTCATAACTCCCAAAACTCGCAAGTACGACGTGCCGTTTTTGTCGTACATCACGGAAGTGCGCGCAGCAAAGTCTGGAAAATCGTCTCGCTTCCAGGTGATCGTGTCATCTGCAAGCGGGTTACCATCAGCAGTGCATGACAGGGTTGCGTCCTCCTTTGGATTCACCACCACATTTTCACTGGTCTGGATTATGGAAGCAGGATCTGAAACCAAATTGTTGGTAAAGAAATGCAATAATAATAATAATAATAATAATAATAATAATAATAATAATAATAATAATAATAATAATAATAATAATAATAATAATTTGTTCGAAAAATGTACAACCCAGCATACAGGGTGCTCGAAAAATAGTCGGAGATATTTTTGAGGGTGATTCCTAGTTAAAAAATATTCAAAGAAGTTTATATAAACCTGGATCCGGAGTTTCAAAATGCAGGGCTATAAATTAAAAAAATATTGATTTCTTAAAAAATGTTCATTCGATTCTGTTGAAATTTGGCAATATTACTTGTATTAAAAGGCTAATTGACCCCTAAATAGATTGAAATTACTAGGTTCTCGGGGGCACCTTAGCGAATATTTTTGACAAAATGCCTTTTTTGCAACTTTAATATATAATTAATATTAATATTTGTTATTTGTTTAAGCATTAAAACATACAACTTCCTTTGCCTTTTGTATCTTTTTCGTATCTCTCTCTCTAAAAACAGTTTTATTGCATGTCACTGGACAAAATTGGTTTATTAATTTTTGCTAAAAAAAAATCACAAGTGCCTTGGAAAACAAGAAATCTTTTCTGCCTGGAGGTTTGATATTTGCGCATCAGTTCTTCTAGAGAAGAATTATTCCCGTAATCTTCTTTGCAAAATTTCTCTAAAAAAAATTACCCTTTTTTACGGGAAAGATGTAAATTTTCATATTTCTTTTTCGTGATGTTTTTGACAATAATGTTATTTAGGAAGTTAGGAAGTATCACGTCCAACGAGTGCAAGCATTAAAGATTTTCTACCTCGTTTACAGTTTTGCGAATGGTATTACCAAAAGGTTAATACTAATAGGAATTTTAATATAATCATATATTTTTGTTATGAAACAGCAATTCAAATGGTAGTAGAAGAATAGAGGCGAAATATGGATGAAAAAAAGTTTACAGCAACATTGTTCTTAGATTTCAAGGGAGCATTTGAGACTATTGACAGCGAGAAATTATTAACGAAATTGCACTGCTATAGATTTTAAGGTTCAGTATTCAACTTATTACAAAATTATTTAATCAATAGAAGTCAAAGAACTAAAATTTTCAATACATTATCAAGCATTAAAAACATTTCGGTAGGTGTGCCACAGGGTATCAAATTAGGTCCATTACTATTTATTTTATATATTAACGATATTCCTGATATTTTAAAACTCTGCAAAATTCAACTATTTGCTGATGGTAAATTAATATACATATATATATATATATATATATATATTATATATTACATATATCAAATAAAGACATTGAAACTGCAATAGAGCTGTTAATTAATGATATGAAAAACGTAATAAATTGATTAAATGTAAATAAAGTTAAACTAAACACAAACAAAACAAAATATATGCTAATAGTAAAATCTTTAGATCAAAATACGATAAATTTTACAATTAATCATGAAAACATTATGTCAATCGAATCATTTAAATATTTGGGCATATACGTAGGCAGTAAATTAAAATTTGAAGGGCACTATGAATATATTATTTCAAAAATATCCAATAAATTACTTTTATAGAATTTCGCATAGCCCAAGTGTTTATTCAAAAAAAATTGTGTACAACACTATCATTCTTCCTCATTTGTTATATTGTTCGACTATTTTCTTCACTGCAAATGAAACTGTATTTTCAAAATTACAAAATAAAGCTATGAGAATCATCTTAAATAAAAATAAATATACTAGAATAAATTTTATGCTGAAAGAACTACAATGGTTAAATATCAAAAATTTCATAGCCTACTGGTTTTCATTCAAGTTGAAAAATCATCTTCTACCAAATCACTTAGAAAATTTTATATATATATTTTATACTAGAGGAAGTATAGATTGTCATTTACAAAACTGCAGTAGCAATATAACGAGCAAGTCAGTATTTCAAAAGGGATTGTACGAATTTAATTAATTAAGTAATGATATCAAGATGTGTGTCAGTTTGAAAATGTTCAAAGGGAAATTGAAAAAATATCTCATGGAAAACCAGAATTCACAGTAATGAAATTATGAATCTGAAACAAACAAACATACTTTTTACGCAAGAAACAGGATTTCGGCGGGATGGTATTCTTAATTACCATAAAACTCACGTATAGAGTGACGAAAATCCTCATGCTTACGTACAATGTCGCCACCAGGAACAATTTTCTTTAAATGTGTAGATGGGTATTGTTGGTTACAATTTAATTGGTCCTTTCTTTTCACCCTTAAGATTAAACGGCGAATCTTACTTAGAGTTTCTTCAACAAGAATTGCCCGTACTGCTAGAAGAAGTTCCTCTAAATGAACGTAACCAAATAACTTTTATGCACGATGGAGCTTCTCTTCATTTTAGTATGCATGTCAGAACTCATCTGAATAACACCTTTGGTGAAAATTGAGTTGGAAGAGCCACCTCGTTTCCCTGACTTGAATCCACTAGACTTTATGGCAACACCTTAAGACGACGGTTTACGCTACTCCCATAGAAACAATAGAAGAATTAAGAAATAAAATAGTAAATGTTTGCGAAGAAATAAGACTTCGAGTTTAAGCTCTAGTTCGTCGTTAAATGATTCGTCAAGTGAGAAGATGTACGGAAATGGATGGTGAACATTTCCAACATTTGTTGTAGTCATGATCCCTATTGTAAAAGTTGCAATAACACCCTTTCCTAGAGATGTTTTTGATTTTTGTTTTCCAAGGCACTTGTAACTTTTTAGCTAAAATTAATAAACCAATTTTGCCCAGTGACTTGCAATAAAGCGGTTTTTATCTATTTTTTTTCTCGAAAACGAAGTGAGATACGAAAAAATACAAGAGACAAAGGAAATTGTATTTTAGATGCTTAATCAAACAAAAAATATTAGAGATACAAAAAAGGCAGTGGCGTACATTTTCTTGATAATAATATTCGCTAAAGTGCCCCCAGGACTCCAATAATTTTAATCTATTTAGGGCTAAATTAGCATCTTGGTACAAAAAATAATACTGCTAAATTTCAAAAGAATCTAATAAATATGTTTTTAAGATATTATTGTATTTCTGGAACCATGTTTATAGAAAATTTTATTCATATTTTTCAACAAGGAATCACACTCTAAAATATCTCCGTCTATTTTTTGAGCTCCCTATATAAATGAAGATAGATGTATGTACTAAAACACATACTTATCGCGCTTCTTTCTTGCTCACATTAAACTCAAGTTGTCAGAATTTGGTTTTACCTGTAGAGAGATTAACTTAGATAAAACCTTCATATGGAGGATCAACTAATTTTTGGAAAACCTCAACTATGTAATTATCATTTATAACTCGTTCCCATACCAAAATTTTGAACTTAAATGAATAATAAGAGATAATAAATAAGTTAAATATGGTTTAACTTACATTGAACGGTGATGTTGACAGTCGCAACACTGCTTCCTTGAGAATTGACAGCCTCGCAAGTGTAAGTGGCGGCGTCATGCCTACTGAGTCGTGTGATGTTGAGAGTGGGCCCATCAGAAACTATTCTTTCATTCCCGGTGGAAGACGATTCTGACGTTATGGGTAGTCCGTCCTTTGTCCACGTGTACTCGATATTCGTTGGGTTACCGTCCGCTTTTAGTTGGATAATGAGAGGTTCGTTCTCTAAGCCAGTTACTGATTCTTCGTTATTTTTGTTAAATACAGGTTTGTCTGAAAAAAAAACCATTTTCAAGAAGGCGCGTAAAATTACTGACAAGTTTGCAAAATGTAATATATATATATATAACTTGAGACGTGGTCATTGTCGTCTAGACCAGTTAGGTGAAAAATTAAAGCTTCCGCCATTTGTTGGGTACTTCGACAAAATTTAAGCAAAGAGGTCTCTTTATACTTTTTTAATTCTCTCTAGCTTTCAATGGACTTTGCCATCATCATCACGAGCTGCAATTACAATGACAACAGTAGCAACAAAAGTGTAAAATGAATTTAAATTGACTCAACTTACAGTAGTATGTGAGGATGTTGCTAATTGTTGTTTACGTATAGGATGAGGGAAACGTCCACTAACATGGCGAGAGCTGGATAGATGGTACAATGGTCAAAATTATATAAAATATGACAAGAACAAGTTAAAAACAGATTAAAAATTATTTAAAAAACATTAGAGCATTACATCGTGAAGCCACTTGATGATTGCACAAAATGGTGGTCATGGAATAGTGAGTGAGATGAAACCCTTTGACAGAAGGCCGAAGGTTGTCAATGTATGTGTTGAAAGATGGAACGAATTATAGTTTATTCAACTGCCTCTGGTCGGTTTAACAATTTCTTACATAACATTCTGAAAATCACATCATCTGAAGTGATTTGGCAACGTTTGGCACACGCCCACAATTCACACTACAGTGAATTATATCCCGCTCGCATTCAACCGTATGAACGATATTTTCTGAGACTTTATCCAAAATTTAGGGGCAACGAAAATGTTTTTGCTAAAACAAGGGCAAAAAAAGAATTCATAATAAGCGAGGCCACGGAAATTGCAGTTATTGGATATTTTGAAGCTTATCGTGAGAATTCAATAGCAGATATTCTCAAGGACTCTAATTTCAGTTATGGTACTGTTCAAAGGATTTTAAAAAAATACAAATTTATTCCGTATAAGTACCGACCAGTTCAAACGCTTTTGGCAGGGGATCCAGAGAGAAGACTTGTTTTTTGCCATTGGTATCTTAGCTTCTGTCGCCAAAATGTAAATAACTTTCGTTACCTTTTATGGACAGATGAATCAAATTTTTCAAATTCTGGAATGTTTAATAGAAAAAACCACCATTATTGGTCAAGAGAAAATCTTTTGTTAGTACATCCAAGAGGCCCACAAGTCCGTTTCAGTTTCAACGTTTGGTGCGGTATAATTGGTTCAAAAATTGTTGGCCCGTTCTTTTATGAGGGAACCCTAACTGGTGAAAGATATGTGGAATTTATGTCAGAAATTCTGACTAATTTCTTAGACGAATTGGATCTTATAAGTAGACATCATCTGCATTTTCAGCAAGATGGCGCACCTGCCCACAACTCCAGAGGTACTTATCATTTTCTAAGTACTACTTTTAATGATCAGTGGATAGGAACAAATGGCCCAATACAGTGGCCTCCCAGATCACCAGATCTAAACCCACTTGATTACTTCTTGTGGGGTTACTTAAAGAACCAAATTTACAAGCGAAGGTACGATAACCTTGACGCGTTAAAGACTGCAGTTAGGGAAAAGATAACCCAGATAGATGGTAGGACCATACTTAAGACAGTTCGAGCAGTTAAAAAACGTGCCCAAAAATGTATTGAAGAACAAGGTGGTGTTTTCGAGCATCTTCTTTAAAAAAAATTGTTATTGTATTTTGTAAGATTATAAGTTGATGTTGAAAATAAAGTTTGTCGATACAATTTAATTGTTTCAGATTGGAGGCCATAACTTCAACAATTTGTAACCTAGGAGAAAAGTTATTGTAAGCTTTTTTGTTTAAAATTTGATGCTTTAACAGAAAAAAATATAATATACAGGGGTTTCCATTTAAAAAAATGTTATTTTACTGAAAAAAATCAAAATAACGACTCTCAATTGTTTTTTTTTATTTCTCATTTTTACCAGCGTTAAAAATGCTACTAGTTTGCTAATTCAAACAACTTTGTATTTTCACTAATAACAAAGTTACTAATGGTGGACACTTAATTTGGATAACCCTGTATATATATATATATATATATATATATATATATATATATTGTTATTAGAAACTTGTTGGGTATTACAAATAATATAATTCACCGGAAATGCTGCGCTAGGCAGAGGAATGACCAAGGTACCTTGCAGTTGCTATCAATATACAGGGTGTAAACGTTATGGTAGTCATTATTTAAATGGGTAATAGGGGAGGTCAAAGCAAGTCTATCTAAAACGTTTTAGATTAGATTATAAAAATTAGTACGATTGTGGTGATTGTGGTCGATATAAGGCACTTAAAGTTATAAACTATAAAGCCATTTAGACAAAAATCTCTTGACTTTTGGACCATGGGTCATATGAACTTTTTGACTTGTTTTGACCCCTCTATTACCCATTTCAACAATGACTACCATAACCTTTACACCCTGTATACAGTTTTAGACAGAATAAAGTAAATCATCCTGAAATCAAGTTGTGTTACAAACGACGCAAAAGCCCGAAATAGATAAAATCCATTATACCAACTTACATAGAACTTGCAGGGTGACAGAATCGTGCACTGATCTCTCCAATGCTTCGTTGGTGGCTTGACACGTATAAACGATACCATTCATATCTTCAGTAATATTCAACTTCATTTCAATAGTAGAAATGATGCCGCCGTGTAGACCTGGCTTAGTACCGTTCATTTTTCCTTGTACAGGTATACCTTCACGCCACCATGACAGCTTAGCAGGTGGATTGCTAGAGCTAGAGTCACAAATCAACGTCGCTTCCTCGCCAGGCTTGAGTTCCGCAGGTTCTTGACGAATTTGTACGTGGTCGGGTGGAACTGCGAGAGGGTAAACATTATTAACGATAAGGTTACATATTTGCAACACATTATAAGTAGATAAATCCGTATAATACTTTACTGGATTAAGAAAAAATTGTGCAATGTTTGAATACTCGTGTTTCACAAACCAGCCTGTATATATATTACAAATAAAGATGTAATCTGCTTTGAAAATCACACCACATTGAGAATTTCATTAAACTTGCACCTCATCAACAGCAATAGGCCACCGCCACAGTATTTTGGGAGGCCAGAAGATGAAAGAGGTATGTGCAACTTCGATCGCTTATTTTTGTACATGGTGACCAACGAAGAATGCGAGGTACTGTTCTGGGAACCTATCAATTGTAAAGGTTTGGGGCAGACTTCAGAAAATTAAATAGTCATTATCATAACTATGAAACTAGAGGCAATATGTATTTTCATCTGCAAAATTGTAATAGTAGCAGAACTAGTAAATCTATATTTCAAAAAGGAGTATTTGAATTTAATAAATTCAATAATGATATTAACCAGTTCGAATTTAAAAATGTTTAAGGTGAAACTAAAAAATCACTTAATTAATAATCAAAATACATATTTAATTTTAAATAGACAAGAATGTAAAATTACAGAAAATGGATTGAAGAAAAATATGTAACCGATTCATTATACAAAATTGAGATTGTAGCACTAATGCTAAATAAATCTTCAACAAGAACAACAACAACAAAAAAAAAAGAATCTTTGAAATCACACCCACAAAGTAGCATGAATACCCATCATTAATGTTCCTTAGTTTTCATGCTATCAAAATGAATTCTAAAAAGCACAAACAATACAATAAAATAACGGTTGGTCAGCAATTTTCCTAAACTTCCAAAAAGTCAGAAACTTACAGTATACACTCATTGTGATCGTCTCAAATAGCGGTATTTCAGTTGCAGAGTTCGCCGCTTCGCATCTATATCTGGCTTCGTTATCAGTGACGTTGGTCAGAATTGTGATTTCCGCAGACACAGACCGGTCCGTGGTTTTCACCGTCGAATGGATTTTCTTGTCATTCTTGTACCACGTGAGTATCGCCAAAGGATTCCCTCCGGATGACGTACAGGAGATTTTTTGAACAGTGCCCGCCGGTATGTGGGAGCCGGCAACGTAACCCTGGATTACGGGGGGATTTGGCGGATCTATAAAAGAAAAAGTGTTACTATATAAATAAATTGCTGCATTTCCCTCTTAACCACATATTCAAAAGTACATAAACAAATAAAGCAAACGGTTATTATAACGTTGTCACTTGGATATTGTTTTTTGAATAACTTTGAACGACACAGTATCCTTTGGCGATGGCTACTATCATTTAAGATCCCATAAAATCATTACAATCATTACAACAAACAATTCTGTGAGAGACCAAATCACATGAAAATCATCGAAGGATATACTGAAAATTGGGACTTGACTTTTCGAAACTTCAAAGCTTATGTGCACGAACAGAAAACGTAAAGAACGAAATTTTAAGTAATGACCTGTTATATGTTTTGCTTGTGTAAATACTGTTGCGGCGATTCAGAAACGCAAGTTTGTTAACTTCTTCCTAAATTTCGAAATGTCTTCTACTGTGTCCGCATCGACGGCCTTTGCACGATATAAAAAAAACCTACTCATCTCGGGATGGAAACATACAGGAAAACGATTTGAACAGACATGTGAAGTATCAGCAGAATCTTGAATATATATTTGGTTGGTGATAGAAGCAACCTTTGCCTTGAACATCTCAACTTCATGAACGCCTTGCAATATATATTGTTTGTTTAAAACTGAAAATTTCCACTCATCTAAGTTACTAATGTGAGTCTTGATGAATTTACATTTATACACAAATTAACACATGACATTCAGCATAATATATGCTATCACAAAAGTAATTTTTATACGCGGAAATTTATGAAAATTTGTATACAAGTTTTTAAGTTAATTGCTCTTAACATAGTCGGCAAAACTTAACCTGTGATTGTCTTCTAGTTCTATTTCATTCAAGTGGTCAATAAATAGTTCAATCGAATTCATGGGAAAAAAGTTAATCAACGTTTCAGATACCTTGGTACTATTTTTTTAATCCGTTAATAAAATAAAGAAGGAATACCTTCTGCTGCTAAAACTATGACATTTCCAAAAGAAGCAACACAAACATGTACTCACATAGCACGTTGATGGTGTGAGTCGAGACGACATTTTCAGTAAGCTGCATATTCAGACCATGGCAGATCACTACTAGGCTCCTCCTGTTGGGTTCTACAACTGTAGTAATATTGGAAGTGGTAATCCAGCCTCCTTCCGGCGACACAACTGTCCTCGAAGTCGCGTTTCGTACTTGCCTTCCCGCCACAGTCCATTTGATTTCTGCTGGTGGGTTAGAGTTTGCTGTCGTGCAAGTCAACGGTACGGGATCACCTACCCTTGCCTCCGTTGGACCTGATATCGTTACATGCGATGGCGCGACTGGAAATCAGACATCAGTTAGTGATCCGCGATATATCGTTAGTTCTTACGAATAATACGTTACTGGTTAATAATTGGGCGATACTCTAAACGGTTACTAGTTACTGGCAGCGTTGTTATTTCGGCTCCCATTTCGAACTGGTGACCGGGTACATAAACAACTGAGTTGTTGCGTGATGAACAACAGAACTACCCCACAAAATACAGATAACCTTTTGAGTCGCTTAATCCAGCTGACACGCTATAGTGAAGAATGTACAAGTTTTTTATTAAATGTTATTAAAAACGTTATTTACTGTTTTTGGGTCACCCTTTGCCTTTTAACATGATCGATATACAATATAACAGTTGACCATCTAGATGGGTCAATATACATTTACAAAGACCAAACAATGAAAATGTAGGAAGAAACATGTCAACTGCTACAGTATTTTGACCAATCGATCTCATAACACAAATTCTCAAACGTGTGAATCTAGCGGCTAAGTAACTGATAGTAACTGAATAACTGCTAAGGATAACGGATATTGATGGATAATGATAACCTTATCAATTGATATTCTAAAATAACTGTTTACGTCATCAATGGTACCAGTTGTGGACAGTTGTAACATTTTATTACAGTATTTTTATTTAACAGTAGTTTTGAGTGCAGATTTCGTGTAAAAGCTGCATTCCGATAAGTATTCAACATTTTTATGACTAATTATTTACCGCAATACATTTTGAATCACTCTGTTGAAATTCAATAGCGTATAACCACAATTTCATAAAGTATTGATTAAAATGCTTACAATTCTTAGCCGACTTAAAACGCAGTCAATTTGTATTTTTTTACACTTTCATCATTATCATCATTATCATCGCTATCATCATCATTATCATTATTATTATAATAATCATCATCATCTCATCACCATCATCATTCTCAGCACTCTCATCATTATCTATCATCATTATAATAATAATCATCATCATCATCACTCGCATCATTACACTGATAAACACAAGATTTGTGACATGGGTGTATCTTATGTATTTTGAGACACTTAAATCGAATCAAAAAACAGAATTTTTCTATCACCCATACATATTCGGTAACATCTACTATTATGAACTACAATACGTAACGTCATAATTAGCTCATATTTCTGCATTTCACGGCATTTATGCGATGACGCACATATATAATGTTATTCCTGTTTATTATATGCGAGCTCTATGTTTAGAGAGCATATTGCGTTTATTAGTAGACTAATAGCACCCGAGTCAGCTACGTTTTCTGTGTTGAAGAGTACTGAGATGTTCTGAGTACTGTTAATTTTTGTTGTTACTGCAAATTTTTTAAGGAAATGTGAAGGCGTACAATTATAAGATATTGTGAGTGAACTAATTAATGCTTATAAAGGAATGGAATGCAACATGTATAAGCAGCAAATAAAATGCCTTATTGCAAGAAAACCGTGGGTGTTAGAAAAAATCGAATGTTATTTCCGGCTTTTCGGGTACGTTTTACATAATAACCACCTTGTTTTGTCCATGTCACAAAAAAATATTTTAATTTTGTTCACCAGTGTTATCATCATTCTTGTCATTATCATCATCATCATCATTATCGTCATTATCATCATCATCACCATCAACATTCTCATCATTATCATTAGAATAATCAACATCACCACCATCATCATCACCACCATCATCATTATCATCATTATCATCGTTATCATCGTTATCATCGTTATCATCGTTATCATCATTATCATCATTATCATCATTATCATTATTATCATTATTATCATTATTATCATTATTATCATTATTATCATTATCATCATTATCATCATTATCATCATTATCATCATTATCATCATTATCATCATTATCATCATTATCATCATTATCATCATCATCATCATCATCATTATCATTATTATCATTATTATCATTATTATCATTATTATCATTATTATCATTATTATCATTATTATCATTATTATCAATATTATCATTATTATCATTATTATCATTATTATCATTATTATCATTATTATATTATCATTATTATCATTATTATCATTATTATCATCATTATCATCATTATCATAATTATCATTATTATCATAATTATCATTATTATCATTATTATCATTATTATCATTATTATCATTATTATCATTATTATCATTATTATCATCATTATCATAATCATCATCCTTATCATCTTTATCATCTTTATCATCTTTATCATCATTATCAACATTATCATTATCATCATCAGTAACAGTTATTATTATTATTGCTATTACTATTATTAATTATTACTGAGAGCGAGATGAAGATATGAAAGTGTTACCAGTAGTGCTATTGTGACCCGCCATATTCTGTGAAAGTACTTATATTTAGACATGCATTCTATTATGCAACAAAACTCTGTGATGTCATAGGATAAGTTTGCAGTGTTTGCACCAAACATTATACGAAATATTTAAACAAAGCAGTTTGTATACTTACACAATACGGTCATATCGATTTCAGCTTTCAATGGCGACTTGGACATGACATTACTTGCTTCACATTTGTACCTCGCCTTATTGTCGCTGACATCAGCTGTGAACGTGTACACATTTTCTGATACTCGTCCTGCCGTTCTATACGCCATCCTGATTTGTTCACCGTTTTTGTACCATATGAGCTGAGCCGGGGGATTGCCGCCTCTGCTTCTGCATACAAGTTCAACTGTTTGACCTCTTCTGACCGTCTCGCCCTCCGTGTACCCTGAAAGTTAAAGAAGCAATCTTAAACAGATCAATGTTAGATAAAATATTGGATTGGAAATATTGGAACTTTATTGATTATCATTTTTAACTGAACGAAAAAGGCAGCGGAATTCTGAGAAAACCATCCAAGTTCAATAATGAAATTGTGATTCATTTTACTTGCTAGGTGAATAAAATGTTAGTATTTATATTGGCGCTCACCTTCGATATAAGGCATTCCTGGTGGATACAACACGCTCAACTGTACTGTAGCTCTGACCGGCACATCGGGAGACAATGCTTCGTGCCGAGCTTCGCAACTGTATTCCGCGTAATCGTCCTCAGCAGTTGGCTTTAGGGATATCCTAGAGTGAGTGTCATATCTAATAGCTCGTCTATCTTGCGGCTTGCCTGCTACACTGGTCGGAGGCGGTGGCGATTCGACAACATTGTCTTCACGATTTGCTGAAAATGAAAACTCACTTATATATAGGTATATTTTAGAACTCTTGTGCAAAAATGTTCCTGATACGCCTACGTTGTTAGTCGATTTATCATTTTGTAGCACTCTTTTTTCTTGCTTTGTTCTAATCCAAATTCTTTTGATGTACAGTAAAAGAAGAGTAATTGGCAATTAAGTAAGTGCGGAAAAAAACAACGCATACACGGCTAAAACCCCATCTCTGTATGATACCTCTGTAACTTCGGAGCTCCAGAAAAATATTACTTACGTATATTAATTTCCACGTTTCCTCTGTACCACACAATTTTCGCCGCCGGCTTGGCGTGCCTTACCCGGCACTCCAGATGAAACTCCTGGTTTTCCTTTATTTCTATTTTCGAGTTATGAGCGTGGTCCACGATTTCTACCGAGGAAGGAGGTGCTGTAACAAGAGAAAAACGCCAGTTAGTGGAAGGTCTCTCCTAAATATGGACCTGCTTCCTTCTTAACTTAAATGCGCTTTGTGCGAGGAAAACAACACGAGAATTACGTATGCAATATTCAACACAAAAGTGCAGTAGTTGTTATTTGACGACCGCCAGCAAACAATAAATTGATTTACTTTGTAGCTAAGTTATACAATGAAAGCCTAACTTGTCTGATTTCTTAATAAACTGGGGGTATTTCAATGACAAGCTATCGTCTCAGATTTCAACAGTATTTCATTTTCAATACTTCTTTGACGGACCCTTTTGTGCTGCTACCTTATTGGTGGAAAATAACGGTTTGTTTTGGTGAAATCTGCCCTAAATCTCAGACCAGCTACTATTATTGGATCTCTTAGCTGATAATCATGTAGTACTGATAGGTGATTTTAACGTTCCTGCATTTGTAGAAGATCGGAATGAACCGAAACATAACATTTTGAAATTTTTTTTGGAAGTATCGGACCTTAAGCAGTACAATATTGTCAGAAATACAAATGATCGGTTATTGGATTTAGTACTGAGCAATGCAAATTGCCAGACTCATCGAGATGTTTCTCCGCTGGTTGGCGAGGATCGACACCACCCTTCATTAACGATTCAATATTCTATAATGAATCAACATATAGCTAATTTTGAACCTAATCATGATGTTTGTCTGTTTAACTTCCGTAAAGCCAATTTTCCTCTCATGTACCAACTTGTTTCACATACGTGCAGGAATAATATTCTTGCCTGTACTGATGTTAATGATGCACTCTTCAGCAACTTGAAAACAATCTGAAAAGTATTTTTGAAGTGTCGGTTCCTTATAAAACCTCCAAGTCTCGTGAGTACCCTCCATGGTTTTCTAGAGAAACAATAAAAGAGGTTCGACAATAAGAGGCAGCGCATAAGTTGTACAAAAAACATAGGACAAGTTTTTATTATGACCGATTTGCTAATCTGAGATCTTCTGTAAAGATAAAAATAAATAGAGACTATCGTAATTTTATTAAAAGTGCTGAAAATGATATAAATAACGATCCGTCTCAATTTTGGAGTTTCATTAGAAATGAAAAAGGGAATAGCAGGATTCCTGGCGCTATGAAAATGGGTGACAGTGTTTTTACAAATGCTCAAGATATTGTTGATGCCTTTGATCAACACTTCTCTGATGTATATAATATGGCTGATGCTAACCTTGCCTTGCCTTTTTTCAAACGCATACCCTCTAATTTTGCTTGAACAATGTCAAAACGTGCATATTAGGCGCGCGCTAGCTAACGTATTGCAGGGCTCGTTTGTTCTATTAGTAAACGCACTGTTTTCGCTCAGTTAGGCTAGTGTTCGTACTACACTAAAAAGAAACGCCTATAAATGTGCCCTTAAATATTCACAAGGATTCCAAATACCTCATACCTAATCCACGCACAAAACAGTTAAAGTTAAAAAATACAGATAAGCACAAAAACCCTCGCACGATATTGCCCGCCCGAAGAACAATAACTTTTTTCACAACTGCTTATGTAAATGGCTATTTCAGTTGTAGCATATCCGTTTATTCTCCATAGACACCATATTTTTGTTTCATGCATTCTAAACTAGCTCCTTGGGCTTTGCATTTTAAAACGGCCGGGATGCGCCTCCTTGCTGTTTGAATCCTTACGAGGAAGTGTTTTGTTTCGGAAGGAGTATCTCTAGTGAGAAAACGGGTACATAGAGGTCTTCCGGGAACCAAAGTAGGCATAAATATTGCAGAATGCCAGATGCATGCAACGTAGCGTCCGCTTTGCCTTGCTGCAGGTGAAGCGTTTGTTTTAAAGGGATCTTGCAAGAAGGAGTGAGATTCTAGCAGGAATATCTTGTCTGGGAAAAAATGCATTGATAATGCCAATGTGTGACTAGAAATATTATGAGTTTTCAGTTTCCTGCTTAAATTTGACTAGGACTTAAAAAATATCAACCAATTTTGAAATAAGTATAGTTGAAAGTGGTAGGTACGTCCAAGTATGGGTCGTCCTTAAACTTAGTAACTCTGCAGTGCGATATTCATGATACTCGTAAACCGTATAATGCCATTATTTTTGATGAATCCGATTTTTGACTGACTATAAACACCTTAACAGATGTGCATTTATTATCTTGAACAAAACGTACTCAATACTCATACTTCAAAAATTGTATTTGTGACAGGTTGTGCAATTTAAGAATGCTTCGATATAATTATTTTATTTTAGTTTCCTCAAGTTACTAGTTTTAATCAAAAAGGTTGTCGTACTTAAAGAACAATAAACGAGTTCGTAACATATTCTGGAGTTTTATTTGTCAAGGGGGACTTTTTAACCATAAACTACTTCACTCCTTCACCCTCTGCCCCCCAGGGTCATCCCTGTAAAAATTTTGAATGACAAAGGGGAATCGAGTATTAGCTTGTTTAAAAGGTCTTTCGAAGTCCTTTACTTTGGCGTTTGATTTTTCAAAATCAGTCGATTCGCTTTCGAGAAAATTATAAAAATCTTTATTTATCTTAAATAGCTTAGATAAAAAACAAAAACACAGGAAAATATCACTTTTTATTCCAATAAGTGTTCAAAATATTGCCCGTCATTGGCCAAACAATGATATAGGCGATGTTCAAATTCTTGACGGACAGTTTCAAAATAAAAAGTGATATTATCGTGTGTTTTTGTTTTGTATCTAAGCTATTTAAGATAAATAAAGATTTTTATAATTTTCTTGAAAACAAACGAATCGACCGATTTAAAAAAATCAAACGTCATAATTAACGAAATAAAGTCTATATAAACATGGGTCGAAAAATGCGTGGCTTCCGATATACAGGGTGTTTAAATTTACTTTCTAAAATAGTTTTTTTTTAAATATTTCGAACAATATTTGATGTATAACAGTGAAAATTGGTATACAAGGGTTTTTTGGCACGACAAAACGAACCATGGGCATAGTTTTACTGTAGCCGCTAGAGGGCGCTCTCTACTGTGCCTGTAGTGTATTAAAATGACAGAAAAATTTTTCTTAGAGCAATTTTTTGCTTTTCGAATAAAAAAACTGATTCTTCGCACTTTTCAACATAAAAAAGCTCTCTTGTGAATTTTCGTTATAGCTAGCCGTTTTTGAGATATTTCGATTTTTAAGGTTCGATGCATTTTTAATTATTTATGATAAAATAACGTTAAAAAGTCAGTATCTCGATAATTTTTAGAAGTAGGCTGTGCCTGCAAATATTTTTGAAATTGAAAGCAGAATAAGGTTAAACGTCAATTAGTTGACAGTTAGTTTCGTTGTCTGTTGAAACCTGAAACGTTTTTTTTGCAATTGTGAATGCACGAAATTTAGTTTCTTTTACCTATTTTTTTTTGTAAGATTTATAAAAACGCCATTTTTATTCTCCAATCAAGAGTTAGCGGATATTCATTTTGTGTATGGCTTTGTAAATGGAAACGCAGCAGAAGCAGCCAGAGAATACGCACGAAGATTTCCAAACAGACGACATCCAACTCGCTCAGTATCTGTAAGAGTGCATCGCCAAATAATTGAAAATGGTTTTGGAAATCTCCAAAGGGATCAAAACATAAATGTTCGTCAGCGCAGATTTACCCGTATGATTCTGCGTGAGTTTGATAGAGATCCGACCACAAGTGTTAGGAGAGTTTCTGGTGCCTTGGGAATTTCAGCAAGCCATGTTCACCGTGTTCTTAGAAATGACCATAGACGTCCTTACCATTTGCAACCTGTGCAAGGACTACAGCCAGGGGACGGAGAACGAAGAATCACATTTTGTCAGTGGATTCTTGATAGAACTGATAATAATAGGGAGTTTTTAAGTAACGTTTTATCGACCGATGAGTCATGCTTCACTAGACGTGGAGTGGTAAATTATCACAATCAACATATTTGGTCGCATGAAAATCCGCATGCAGTTCGGGAAATTTTCAGCATGAATTTAATGTGAACGTGTGGATTGGTATCTACCGTAATCGACTATTTGGACCCTACCTTTTGCCTGCAAAGTTAAATGCTGCAACCTTCTTGGAATTTTTAAAGGCTGAACATGTAAATATGTGGCATGATGTTATGTTAGATTTAAGAAGATTGGCCTGGTTCCAGCTTGATGGTTGTCCAGCTCATTATTCGAGAATAGTTAGAAACTGGCTGGATGAAAATTATCCAGAAAGATGGATCGGCAGTGGAGGACCAGTCGCCTGGCCTCCACGATCCCCTGTCCTAAATCCATTAGATTTCTTTCTGTGGGGATTTCTAAAAGAAAAAGTGTACCAGACCCCGTAACCACAAGAGATATGCTGATAGACAGAATCAGGAATGCATGTGATGAAATAAGGCCTTATTTGAATAATGCTATACCACGTTCGATCATTCGTAGATGTGAATTGTGTATTGAACAATTGGGTTTACATTTCGAGCAACTACTTTAGATTTTGTATGTTTGTCCTAACTATCCAATAGCATCCAATATTCAATTAATTTGTTAAAAATAATATTGGAAAATTAAACAAATTAATATTCTGTTTTTTTGTGTTTATTTGGAGTTAGGAATTATTGCTGTGTTTAAAAACACAGTCTAAACGATCATCTTAATTACTTGTAATGCCCAAATCGAAAATGTAAAAAAAAATATTATTTTCCCATAAATAATTAAAAATGCATCGAACCTTAAAAATCGAAATATCTCAAAAACGGCTAACTATAACGAAAACTCACAGGAGAGTTTTTTTATGTTGAAAATTGCGAAGAATCAGTTTTTTTATTCAAAAAGCACAAAATTGCACTAAGAAAAAATTTTTGGTCATTTTAATACCCTACAGGTACAGTAGAGAGCGCCCTCTAGCGGCTATAGTAAAACTATGCCCATGGTTCGTTTTGTCGTACCAAAAAACCCTAGTATACCAATTTTCATTGTTATACATCAAATATTGTTCGAAATATTTAAAAAAAAACTATTTTAGAAAGTAAATTTAAACACCCTGTATTTCGGAAGCCACGCATTTTTCGACCCATGTTTATATAGACTTTATGCATTAATTTTAAAACTTCTATCGAATCTATCGAAGTTATGCAACAATAAACTGAAACACCCTGTACAACTAAGTGCAAAATCAACTAAGTAATTGACCTCAGTGTGCGCCGATCTTAAAATCCCTCTCAGCGTAAAGTAGTAAAAAGCTAAGCTACCTTACATCTTTTTCTGAAATCACCTGATAAATTGATATCAGTTTTATTGACGATTTCCGTCACTCATCTCCAGTCGCACCAAACTCTCAAAAACATGAGCTTCATTATAGTCGGTATATCCTGGTGATAATACCGACTGACAATCGTGATTAGCGAATTGCATCGTGACTTAGCTAATTAATTAATGTAATTGATTAATTACCTAATTACGTTTCACTAATTAATAGCAATAACGGCCAACCTGTTACACTTCTATCCACCTAATCGAACACCGTCCTAAATAAGTATATTAATTTAAATGATTTCCGATACTTATTCAGATTTTAATTATATAGAAACTGTTATAATCTTTATCAGCAAAACTAAAGTACATTCTGTCAGCTACGGCGAACAATCACCCTGAGTAAAACCTGGCAACACGCAAAGTTGCTGTCTCATTTCATGATTGCAAAATGAGCACAGAAACAACCAAAGCATCGTTTGTTCCTGTCACTCCTCCTTTATCCCAACAGTAACAAAAGCCCGGAAGAAACCGGAATAAAATGGAGCTTTAAGTTCGGATCGATTTTTGCTTGGTTAGCTTGCTTTGCTAGTTAGGTCGAGATAACCGAATATACAGGGTGTCCGCAAAGTTGGGGTTTTCCTTTACACGACGTGTAGATCTTGAAAACATAAGCAATTTTTCTTAGTACCATATACACCAATGTCTTAAGGGAACCGAGATAAAGGGCTCTGCAACATCAAAAATATCTCAATACCGTCCTGTAGCCGCGACATCCCCGAGTGGTACTAGGACACTAGCTCAACCCGACGACAGAACTGGATCGGGGTCAGTGTGTCAGGTCAGTATGCAACCTTCAACCGACGGTTACGGTCACGCGTGTAGAGGTAATCGCGTAGACGAGAATCCCTCAACAAGCACTAGAGACGTGGCTAGAGAAGTGCAAGTATCAAAAACTAAAGTGTGGCAAACGCTGCGTGAAGAGGGGCTGTATCCGTTTCACGTCCAACGTGTACAAGCCCTTCAACCTGACGATTTTCCAGCAAGAGTGCGGTTTTGTGAGTGGTTGTTGCATCAACATGACAATAATCCGGACTTTTTGAAGTGCATATTGGTGACAGACGAATCTACGTTCACGCGTAATGGGGTGAATAACTTTCGCAACACTCATGTTTGGTCAGTAGAAAATCCGCACGCTGTCCGTCGGGCACATTTTCAACAAACACTTTTGGGGAATGTTTGGGCTGGCATGGTGAACGGTATGCTCATTGGACCATTTATTCTCCCAAATCGATTGGACGGGATGCAATACCTAGACTTTTTATGCAACATTTTGCCTTCCTTGTTAGAAGATGTGCCATTAAGTGTAAGACAATCAATGAGGTGTCTGCGTCTGCTCGGTAGCGCATCAACTGATTTCATTTTCTGTTGGAGCGGTATGATTTCGGGCAGAGCCGTACTTAGCCCTTCTCGTCAACTGGAGAGTGAGTACTTTTTCCTTTATTTTTTTTTTACTTGGTCGCCCTCGTTTCACTACACATTACCTTTGTTATTTCAAGGGTAGTGGTTTCTGAAAAGGAAAACCCCAACTTTGCGGACACCCTGTATAACTCCAAGATTTGACTCGCATCAGTTGATACAGTTTCGTCGGCGGAAGATGCCCTTATTTTGCAGTTTAACAAACAAAGCTTCAAGGTGCGCATACACAGAGACAAATTGCTTAGTTTTCCATAGCGACGAGATATACTAAAGGTATATTGAAGCTTCAAACTAAGGAGGTTTTCTAGTTGGAGACAAGTTAAGATCACATCAATGAAGTCCCAATTATATGGCCAAAAATGGCGTAAAATACAAAAGTGAATCCCTATAAATATAGTCAACGACATTAGAAGTGTTACACCCAGAAAAAAATAATTTCTTCAACTTATTTTTTGCAACATAATGAGTATATTCAAAGCATGAGGTGGCAAGAATCTCAACGTTTTATCCTTGTTTTTGTTTACCTTTTATTAAAATGTTATCTCTTAGTTTTTGTGAAGAAACCAGTTACTGAGAGCTGAGTAGTACAGATATTTTTAGTCATGGCCCTTTCATTTACTAGTCTTAAGCATAAGAAAATGTCTACAGTACGAAGACGTCCAAATTATCACCATGTCATCAACTTTGACAGGGGTAGAATTATTGCCTATCGAGATGTTGGTTTGTCTTATCGCGAAGTTGGCCGCCGTGTTAATTTAACTGCAATGACGGTATTGCGTGTGTGGCTAGAAGAAGGTAGAGGAATTAGAAGACCAACTGGTCTACCGAGGCGTATTACAGAGCGTCAAGGTAGTCGCTTCAAAAATATCTGAAATTGGTAATAAGTTACAGCCAATTTCCAAGGAGCTTATAAAGAGGAAAGTGAGTGCTCGCCCGATGTATCAGTAGATTTAGATGTTTAAGTGAAATTCATAAGAGTAGAGTTAAACCATATACTTTTTTCCTATCCTGTATATTTGATAAGGCAACGCTGCTTCTACGTCTGAACTATCGTGTTTTGTACGTTTCGTTATGCACTATATTCATGCCTCATGTCATTTGTGACAGCAAAATAGGTTAGACATTGCAGTTTATTGTAACTTTCTATTTCACCAATTCCTTGGTCCTCTGCGTAAAGCTAACAACCGTTTAGTGAAACCTGACGTTGAAAAATGCTTTTTGAGATATAACTTACGGTTAGCAGTGAAATTGCAGATACCTTGCGAATGAAAAACGGGCCTAAGATAACTGCCGAGTAGGGTATAAAGCATTGGCTTCTTGTAAGTTTAATACAACTCATGTGGCCAATACCGAACTAAGTTAAACTGAACATTCTCGACAAATCTATAAGTACGACTTTGATCATAGCAGCTTTAAACTTATTAAATCATCAGTACGCCCGCAAGGGGGGTCCCACAGGGTTCCGTCATAGGTCCCACGTTTTTTATAATATTCATAAATGATCTGGTCCTCTGTAACTCTCAGAGCATTGCCCTGTACGCAGATGATACTACTACTACAGGGTGGTCCATAAGTCCTTTGAAATTTCAAATTTGAATAAAATTTAACGGGTGAGCGTGAGCGGAGCGGGCGAGGTGGGGGCAGTATCTTCAGTGTCTGGGAATTCAGTCGCCATGGAGTGTTTCACTGCTTTTTGGGTGCGCGCGTTTTATCAAAATAATGATTCGGCAACCATTGCGCGACGTAAATATCGAGAATACCACAATTTACACAATTTTACAAAGTGTCCAACAGCTCAAACGATTAAGAACTGGGTTGCTAAGTTTGAAGAGACTGGTTCGACGTTAGATAAACAGCGGTGGGGTCGACCAAGGACAACTCGTTTTGAAGAAAACAGCAACATTGTGGCACATTCTGTTCGTCAAAATTCTACCCAGTCTACTCGTAAGCGTTCCAGTGCACTAAACGTACCCAGAACATCTTTACAACGGATTTTAAGGAAAGATTTACGTCTGCACGCTTACAAAATTCAGTTAGTGCAAGAATTAAAAGATAATGACGCTATTCAGAGACTAAACTTTGCGAATGAAATGTTGAATCGATTTTCAATAATGTGTTGTTCTCGGACGAGGCTCACTTCCATTTTAACGGACATGTAAATAAACTAAATTGCCGTTATTGGAGCCCCGAAAATCCAAGGCGTAAGCATCAGAAGCCCTTACACAGCCCTAAAGTTACAGTTTGGGCTGCTATGTCAGCGCATGGCATCGTAGGCCCTTACTTTTTTGAGGACGACAGAGGTCGCGCATTAACTGTTACTTCGGAGCGGTATGTAGCAATAATAGAAGAGTTTTTGACACCAGCGTTGCAGAATTTTCCAGGCTATAATACGCAGACCTGGTTTCAACAGGACGGAGCAACTGCCCACACCTCCAACACTTCTATGCCCGTCGTCTGTCAACTTTTTCACAGCAAAGTAATTTCTCGAAGAGGAGACATTTCCTGGCCACCACGTAGTCCAGATTTGACCCCAATGGACTTCTTTTTATGGGGCTACCTCAAGAGTAAAGTGTACGACACCACTCCGCGATTAGTTGATGTCCTGAAAGAAAATATCCGAAGAGAAATGGCAAGCATTACAGTGTTGACTTGCCGCGCAGTCATCGACAATTTTAGACGTCGTTTATATGAGTGCCGTGATCGTAATGGATTGCATTTAGACGATGTGATTTTTAAAACATAATTCCCATTCAATAATGATGATAACAATATATAATAATTCTTCATAATGTAACTAGTTTGGTTTTATTCCTTTTTTTCCAGCTCAAAGGACTTATGGGCCACCCTGTACTACTCTAGATAGTGGTAACACTGCTGCTGATGATTTGAACACTCTAGATAATGATGTACAAACAAAATTAAGTTAACACTCAAACCATGGATTTCACTTTGAAGAGTTTTAACAACGTCAATGAGTTAGTAGCAAAGACATCAGGTTTGCACTTAGATGGCATGAACACATTTATCAATTGCTTTCCAAACTCAACAAAAGCATTTGTGTCATCCGTAGCCCCCAAAACTGTTTCCCCTACTTCGGCAAGCGTACTACAACCATTTCCATTCTCATATGACTTATAGGGTGTTATTGTGGGGTAAGCTTTTCTTTATGTATGTGGGAGCTTTTACATGCCCAACATCAATAATGATTATTATTATTATCAAGATTATTAAGAAGGAAGATTAAAACGTTTGTTCATATGTTCCAAACAAATGCATCAATGAAGATATAACGATACGAATATAAGTACTTACATATAACGCTAAGTTTCCCATTCGCTCTGATAGCCTTGTGCATCCTCGCAGGTCCCACTTGACATTGGTATTCCGCATCATCTTCCAAAGATGCGTTGCTAATTCGCAAGTTGTAAACTCCATGCCGTCGGTCGCCGATTACAGAATACCGAGGAAATCCTGGAATCACTGACGAGAAACCTGGAACAATCCATATTGACGTTTAGATATTGAATATAGTATTTCTTATAAACAAAACTGGCCCATCTGATGTTGTAGACGCAATAACATTACAAGAAGCAATTAAGAAGTTTCGTGAAGGCGAAAATACTATCAGTTTTACTTGCATGTAATAGTATAACTGGTAATAATACTAAAAATATAATGTTTATTCAAATTGCTTTGCGGACATGAAACGTCCACAGGAAAAGGTCAGATTTACATAAGCAAAAAATATACATGGCTAAATTAGAATAAAATAGTTGATAATAAGTTATAAAATAGGTGGCAAAAAGTATGCTTGTTTAGAAGTATAAATAGTTAAATAGAAAAATAGAAATCGTGTGCAACATAAATGTATAATAAGTAAAATAATCAATAAAATAGATAAATATGTAATTATTAAGAATTATAAAGCTCTTGCAGAGAGTAAAAACACTTAAACACTTAGGGTACAAATATGTTAAAAGTTGATATTTTGAAGAGTTTTCAGTCGTAGATGGTTTTTAACTCGGAGGCCAAATTATTGAAGATAGATCCGAATAGATAACACTGATCAACAACCAAAAAATATCCTAAATAAAATCAACAAAATATTACTATCTTTAATGTGCTAAAACCGGAATTAAACTTATTTCTTCAATATTAGTTCAAGTTTTAGAGATACGGTAATTATATGTTCCTGCTGTGACAGTGTTAATATACTGTAATTCACAAGAATGCACGTGCTACATTTTTATATTCGGCAAGGAAAGATGATGTAATCGGCATGATTGTGTTACGTTATACATACGTGTACATTATATTGTTTTATATTAGCCATTTTTTCCTCAGTTGACTGACAGCGTTCATGCAAGCTGTCTCGAAAGTGCGAAAACAATTCGGATCAGTTTTGTTACGTGTGTGGTGATGTGACTTTTGCGTCTCAGAGATGGTCTATTACTTCACTAATAACAAAGGCATATCAGCTTTATTTCGGTTGTAAACTAGGTGATCAAGACAAGCAGTGGGCACCCCACATCTGCTGTAATACATGTGCTTCAAGTCTGAGGAGCTGGTTAAATGGCAAAAAACGGTCTATGCGCTTTGCTGTCCCAATGGTTTGGAGAGAGCCTACAAATCATATTAATGATTGTTACTTTTGCATGGCACCTTGTGTTGGACAAGCCACAGGTATGTCCAAGAAAAAAAATCGGTTATTAACTACCCAAACATACCATCTGCGATGAGACCTGTGCCTCACAGTGACGAAAATCCTATTCCAAAACCCCCAGAATCCTACACTTGCGAATCAGAAAACGAATCAGATCATGGCGATCGAGTGATTCGTCAGGAAGAAGATATGCCATCAACGTCAAGAGATCCTGATTTTATACCGAGCGCGTCATGCCACCAACCGCACAAAATAACACAGTCAGAATTAAATGATCTTGTAAGAGATTTAGAACTTCCAAAATGTAAGGCAGAGTCACTTGGATCAAGACTGCAGCAGTGGAACTTGTTAGAAGACGATGTTTCGGTATGTGTTTTTCGTAAACGCCACAAAGACTTAGAACCATTTTTCAATATGGAGAATAACTTGGTTTTCTGCAGTAACATTAACTTTTTCTGTAGTAACATTAACGGCTTACTGGCGGCTTTAAATATAAACTATAACCCAGAAGAATGGAGATTGTTTATAGACAGTTCAACATTGAGTTTAAAAGAAGTGTTATTGCATATTGGAAATATTTTACCATCTCTTCCTGTAGGGTATGCAGTTCACATGAAAGAATCATATGACAATATGAAGTACCTATTGACATGCATAAAATATGATGAGCACCAATGGCATATTTGTGGCGATTTGAAGGTTGTTGCACTTCTACTTGGGCTGCAGCTAGGCTACACAAAGTTTTGCTGTTTTTTGTGTGAATGGGACAGTCGGGCAAAGTCACTTCATTACACCAGACAAAACTGGCCTGTTCGTCAATTCCTAGAGCCAGGTCAAAAAAATGCATATGCCATTGGTAGATTCGAAAAAAATTTTATTACCACCACTGCATATCAAGTTGGGCCTAATGAGAAACTTTGTCAAGGCATTAGATAGAGATGGGTCAGCTTTTCAATACCTGCGTCAGAAATTTCCAAGACTAAGTGAGGCAAAGGTTAAAGAAGGTATTTTTGTTGATTCGAAATATTTTGAAAGATACACAGTTTGAAAACACTTTAACAGGTATTGAAAAAACTGGAATGATTTCCGTCTGGTGGTCACTAATTTCTTGGGAAATAGAAAAGCTGACAACTATAAAACCCTTGTCAAAAATATGCTGTCATCGTATCAAAAGATGGGCTGTAATATGTCTCTTAAGAAACATTTCCTACACTCATACCTGGACTTTTTTCCTGACAATTGCGGAGCCGTAAGTGATGAGCACGGCGAACGTTTTCATCAGGATATTTCAACAATGGAAAAAAGGTACCAGGGAAAGTGGAATCCTTCCATGCTTGCAGACTACTGTTGGACTCTTGGTAGAGATGCTCCAGAAACGATCCATAAAAGAACAGCAAAAAGACAGCGCATATAGTGATTCTTATAAGTATATGAATTTTGTTACTTTTTTTAACATATCCTTAAAAATAAAAAGTTTTTTTTCTAAACCGCAACTAATTTTTTTATTTCATTGTCATTTTTGGATTCAGCGCCCCAAAATTAACAAAGAAGTGCACTTTTCCCACAAGATACAATTAAAAAACTAAAATTTGTTGTCCAGTGTAGTCAGGGCTATTACGCCTCTAGAATGAGTGATGATGCTAAAGTCAGTATTTTTTCATCTCTAAATGTTTTTCGACAAATCTCTAGAGGATGCAATGAGAATATGAGTCCGACTATTATCTTTTGAAAGATTAAGATTCGTTGGGCCTCAGCAAATAATCCCCAATATAGCGCTAAATATTTGAGGTGGGAATATACAATCGCGCGTCGAGGTTTGGTCTTGTATATCGCATTCATTCTTAGCACTCAAGCTGACTCAGTCACAACACATTGTTTGTATAGTGGCATAGTCTGGTGTGCGATATTATACGTAGTCGTGCCATAAGTTCTGTCCCATGATAATCTCATGATAAAAATGAAACAAGATAAGATATATTTATATGAAAGATATTATTTATTCGACAACATTTTTAGAATTCATAATCAAACAGTTTTATTCAAAATGTCCCCCCTTGGCCTTCACACACTGCTTCAATCTCGCGGGCCACTCATCTATCACTGCACGCACAGCTTCCAAAGGAATAGCTGCCGCTGATCGGATCAAATCCGCTTTCAGGGACTCGATATTACGGTGGGCTTTGGAGCAGGCCAACTGCTCTAGCAGGTCCCACAACTTGTAGTCTAAAGGATTGAGGTCCGGACTCCCTGAGGGCCAATCTTCCGCAGCAATGAACTCTGGCACATTGCTTTCCAGCCAGTGCTGCGTACTCTTAGCCTTGTGAGCGGGTGCGGAATCCTGCTGGTAGACCCAGTGTTGGTTGGCAAACAATGTACCACTTAAAGGCTTGACGATAGGATCCAGTATGTCGCTCTGATAGTTTGCCGCTTTTGTTTTCACGCCCTGTTTACAGAAATGGAGCTGAGTGACCCCTTCGTAGGACACCCCCCACCAAACCATGACTGACGCAGGGTGGTGGCCTCTCTCAACTCTCGGAATGATCTCCGAAGCTTCCTGTGAACTCCTTGCATACACTTTGTCATTTTGTCGGTTGAATTTTTCTTCTATGGTGAAGATTTTCTCATCCGTGAACAAAATCTTTCGGAATCCCCCAGCTGCGTACCTCTCCAAGAGCTTCTTGGATCTTGTCGCCCTGATGTGTCGCAAGGTGGCCGTAAGTCGCTGGCCCGTACGTCTCCGGTAAGCCCCTAGCCCTAGGTCTTGTTTAATGATGCGCGACATCGTCCGGACAGGAATCTTCATTTCCCTGGATAGGATCTTCTGCTTCCGGAGTGGATTCCTTTGAATCCTGGCTTTTACGGCTTTGATGGCTGCTGGAGTCCTTACTTGACGAGGTCTTCCGCTTCTTGGCCTGTCATCAACAGAGGACGTCTCATTGTACCGCTGAATGGTCCTAGACACAAATTTACGCGATATTTGAAGGCCTCGTAAGAGTTCAAAAATCTGACTAGCACTGTGATTACACTTATGTAAAGCTATCACTGCAATACGGTTCTCTGCCTTGCCCCACTCCATCGTTATGCTTCGAGAGATCAATACAAACTGAGGTATATGTAATTACCCGAAAAGCGCTTAATCAACTGACACCACAATGTAAACAATCGGACAAGTATTAACAGGTCTACACTTGTTTGAAAACGAGGGACAGAACTTATGGCATGACTATGTAGATGAACAATAAAAAAGCGGAAGAAGGTTTTCTGCATACGGATGTTACTAATCCCCCAAAGGTGGAAATAATAATGGTTAACAGTTAATAGTTGTGTTTTGGTACGCAGTAACATTTATAATTAAGCCTACACGAGATCGACGCCTCAGTGGTTTGAAGGAGGTCCTAGATTATGGCCAAAATTAGAAAGATTCATTAAAACTTATAAAAAAAATCCATTTATAAGTTTTTCAGATCTATGATAACGAATATGATATCCATTTGTCAAAAACCGAAATGGCAGATTTGCAAAAAAATATTTTGATTGAGCTCAAATGAAAGTTTTAGATGTACAGTATATTCAGATAAGAGATAGACCGCATGTAAACAAAAGGTTCGGGTGATTTTCACGCTAACGCCGCCGTCTCGACGTAAAACAGGAGCCCTCATTGGTCAATTCGCAATTAAATGCCTATGCCGAGCGGCAGAGCAGTCGTATCAAGGCAGAGTCACATTCAGGTTCAGACGTGTTACGTATGTCGTGTGCATCATTGCAATTTGATATTTCTTTGGACGTTTTCGTTTGTTATCTTATTAAGTTGTTGAGTTTGTCGTTGTTA